CAAGAGTAACCCAGGGCGGCACTATTAGTCCAGTCACTGGAACAGGAGCCACAAGGCCAATCAGGAGAATATATAAAAGAGTAGTACAAAATAAAGCCCACAGCAAGAAAGAAGCTATAGGACCTAGACAAAGCTGCACACAATACCGCTCATGATCTTTTGGCACAAGAGCATTCGTAAAGATATCAGCTGTGTTGGTACCGGAGGCCAATTGTACTACGAGAGCCTGGCGGTGCTGCTGTAGCTCGCGTAGGAGGAAGTACTGCAGCTGGATGTGCTTCGCTCTGCCCTCAAGTCTAGGCTCCTGACACAGGAGGATCATGGCCCTGTTGTCAGCGTACAGGACCGGGGCAGAGCTAGGCCGCTCACCTAAGTCTGTGAACAAGAAAGTCCACCAGCGGAGCTCCTGTGCCGCCATGGCACCGGCGTAGATCTCAGCCTTACAGCTAGATTGGACAACAGACGACGAGTGAATAGACCTCCACGAGATGGCACTTGCACCAACGCTAAAGCAGTAGCCCTGGGAGGACCTGAGCGTCTCAGCGTCATCTGCCCACGAAGCGTCTGTGTGCCCTGTAAGGACCACTGGCCTGTGTCCTCCTAGCACTAGCCCCATGCTCGATGTACTTGCTAAATAACGCAAAACCCTCTTAGCGGCAGACCAGTGCTGTGGTCGGTGTCTGCCTGTGGCCACAAAGCGAGCCAGGATGCTGAGAGGGTATGCGAGATCTGGAGGAGTGCAAGTCATCAGGTACATGAGGCAACCCACTAGCTCTGCGTAAGGACCACTCGGCTCTGCTGACTCCTCAGGAACTGGAGCAGAGAGCATGTGGTCTACTGGCAGAGGTGTGGGCTGTGCGGAGGAGAATTGAGGACCTGGCGCACCAAGTGTGGCTGCGTGAGAGTGATGGAGCACGCCGCTCTGTCCCTGGAGATCTGCAAGCCAAGGTAGCGGCGCAGCTCTCCTAGGTCAGTGCAGGTGTGTCTCCTCAGTAGCTCACCCTTCACAGAGGCCAGTGCGTCTCTGTCTGCAGTAGCGAAGACCAGGTTGTCTACATAGACAAGGATATAGAACAGATTCTGGCCTAAACGAACGAAGAGAGAAGGGTCTGCAGAGGACGGAAAGAATTGCAGGTCAGCTAACGTAGCACGAAGTGTGTCGTGCCACTCGTGCGGCGCCTGCCGTAAGTCGTAAACTAAGCGCCGGAGGAGCCACTGGGTCCCCGGGGCGTAGGTGCCGGTGAAGCCTGGCAGGCGACGCATTTAGACCTGCTCGTGCAAACTACCTTGAAAAAATGTTGTCGAGTAGTCGAGAGAGTGCAGCTCGTAGTCATGCTGTGCTGCTACGTGTAGCAGCGTTCGAAGAGTAGTAATCTTTGGGGTCAAGGCGAAGGTCTGAAAGAAGTCAACACCATCGCGCTGACTGAAGCCTTTAGGAACATAGCGCGCCTTGAACACCGACGGCTTTCTAGGATGGCGCTTCACTTTGAAGAGCCACCGGCGATCGACTACGTTCACCCCAAGTGGGGGAATTCCGTCGACGTAGGTGTTGGTGGATCTCGAACATGCCATGTCCGCATCCATGGAAGCTATGCTCTGGGAGGCCCAGAGTCCCGAGGTGGCCTCAGCATAGGTGCGAGGGGTCGAGATGTCAAAGATGTCTGGGTCACCCTGAGGGACTAGCAGCATGGAGCAGAGATGAGGCGCGACCTCGGACAGGAAAACAAACTCGTACTGCCGGTCCTCCAGGACGTCATTGCCAAGGGCAGGAGCACCCCCGACGGACGAAGGACGGGCATGGCCAGAGAGCAGAGCGGTGGCGTATTTAAGGTGGCGAGTATAGGCAAAGTCAGCGACGGCAGCGACAAGTGCATAAAGACTTGAGACAGGAACAGACGGGTCGGTAACAAGAGAGGCAAGGACACGAGGAATTAGAGGAGTAGCAGCATGGAGGATGTAAGACAGGGGAGGTGAAGCGATAGCTACCGACGACGGAGGAGGCGACAGGAGGAGGGGAGGACGAGACGTGTGGGAACGAAGCAACATAGTATGAGAGCGCTGTACAGGAGAGACAGGAGCACAGAAGGGACGGCGAGACCAGAAGTGGGACAGAGGCGTGGGGTAAGGAGACACAGGATGAGACATGGGAGGAGAACGCGGGAGAAAACAAGCCGAAGACGAGTCAGGCGGAGGAAACACAGGGCCGCAGACAGGGGAGGGAGGCGCAGGTGGGTGGTCAGAGGAGGGAAGACCGAGGAGGCGAAGGGCGGACACCGGCGGCGATTGTTGCTGCTGCTCTACACCGACACCAGAACCTCCAACTGCACCACGACTACCTCTGGGACGCTCCACTACAGCACCTCCAGAAGGAGAACCCTCTCAAGCAACGGTGCCACCCCCAGGACCGCCGGGACAAGCCACGACAGTACCCCCATGACTAGCGCCTCTAGAACCAACACCCCCATAATGAGAACCCTCTCGAACATCAGTACCACCCCCAGGATCGCCAAAACAAGCCACGATAGTAACCCAAGGACGAGCACCCTCCTCAACGCCCGCACCCCCCGAGCTCGCGGACCCCTGCGGTGGCTGCTGCGGCGACGGCGGCTACTGCTGCAGCTGTGACGGCGGCGACTGCTACTGCGGCGGCGACGGCGGCTGCTGTGGCAACGGCTGAGGAGGAGGAGGAGACACCGGGTCGGAGACAGGCGGGGGAAGCCAAAGCCGCGGGGCCCCTGGAGTCAGCTGACTCCTCCACCGGAACAACCGACGGGAGGGGAGTGACGTGAGACAAACCAGACGGGGCAGGACGGGGAGGAAGAGGAGCAGGGACTACCGGGGGAGTGGGGACCAGGAGCAGGGGCAAGGAAACCGGGAGACCTTGGTGGGGTAAGCGGGTGTAGAAGGAGACAGACTCGTCAAAAGTGACGTCACGAGAGTGAGAAACGATGAGTTGGCGTGTGGTAGAAGTGCCAGTCAGACGCGTCGAGAGGGAAACCAAGGATTCAGTGTGCTTGTCTGTGCCGGAGGCACGAACGTGAGTGAGGCAGCCTCAGTCGTGGAACGCAGAAGCGTCACCTGGGAACTCAGTCCTGAGAAGGGTCGGTGAAACCTGCGGCTACTGGGAGTGCGGCCACAGGTTAAGCTAGTGAGTGGCGTAGAGAACGGCGAACGACCATAGAAAATGGGGTGCACCGGCATGGATCATGGAGGTACGAGCCACCTCCATGATCAAACCGATGCGTCGCTCAACGATCCCATTCAGATGCGAGGAGTCCAGCATGGTGTTCGACTGGGTGATGCCCTCCACACGACAGAACTGGCCAGACCGACCGAAGGCGAACTCGTCGCCACGATCGGAGTGAAGACGCAGCATAGGGAGGCCGCGGTGGACTCTCGTAGCTACGACCTACGGGATAAGAACGGCAGGCACATCGGCCTTACGCTCTAGGGGAAAGACCGTGGTGTAGCGCGTGTAGTCGTCGACAAGCACTAGAAAGTAGCGCTCTCGACGCGGCCCAAGGACGGGGGTTGGGCCCCAAACATCCAGGTGCAGGGTCTGGATTGGCGCAGCCGTAGGGGGAAGTGAGGAAGAGTGAGGGGCATGGTGTAGCCGGCCCTCGATGCAGAGCGTGCACGGCGGCGCAGGTGAGGGAGGTAGGGCAGGGAGCGACGTAGGGAGACCAAAGACAATACCGTGATGGGACATGTGACGCAGACGCGGGAGTGCGAGGTGACCTAGGCGGTGCTGCCACAGCAGCGACGGGTGGGTGAGCGACCGACACGAGCAAGCTGCAGCAACCTGGGAGGACGCGACGACCTGGGGGGATGCTCCCAACGGGGAGGATACGGTGTCAAGGGTGAATAGGCCAGACACGGGGTCCCGGGGTAACGTGGTAAGAGGGGCACTAGTGGCGGCCTCGATACAGACTGCGTACCGCTCGTGTCTAGGAAACGTAGTGGTGACGCCAAGGTCCTGAAGACAGCCGACACCAACTAGGTTCCTGGAGTACGAGGGGATGTGCAGGCTTGTAAGAGAGCCCGAGGGAACGGCCGGACAGGGAAGGGTAGAGGAGTTTATGGGCAACTACCGGACCTGACGAGGGGTCAGCAAGCGCTACAGTGGTAGGGGCAGCAAGCGGCGTGAGCGCAGTGTGGTCACGAAAATAGCAGGCGGACGCACCAGAGTCTAGCGCGAACGAGAGTGCGATGGTGGCAGCCGCAGGCGGAGGAGCGAGGGTGGAGCCGAGGCTAAACAAGGTAGGTGGTCCTACGCCTGACATAGTAGGGGACACACCTATACTAGGCAACACCGGATAATAGGGTCCACTCACACTAGAGTCATCAGCATACATGGCATGCAGAGCAGACCTAATCTGATCCATGTTAATCTCAAAAACAGGGACACGGCGACGCACTAGGCTGTACCAGTGGAGAGGGTCCGACGCGGGGCCGAAGCGGAGATGGAAATGGTCGTCTAGGCAACAGTAGCAGCAGTCGGTGGTGTGCCTGGGACGATCGTAGACGGTGCCGCGACGGGGGCCGGACTGAAGGTGGTAATGGCAGGTGACCACACTGGAGCCGCCACTTGACACCGAGCTGCGCCCCCACCAAGACGACGACCACCACCAGCGCTGCCAGGCCACCACGGCAGCGGGGGTCCCCACGGCGACTGCTACTGCGGCTGCGACTGCTGCTGCTGCTGCTTCGGGGCACGAGCCCCGGTCCCCTTGTCTGCACCACCGTCTCTGCCCCCACCTCCACCACCCTTCCCTCTGCCACGCCCTCCCTTGGGGCGGCGGCCCTTACCCTGACGCTGCTGCGCTGAGGCCACGACGGCGGTCTCAGCAGCAGGGGCTATCTCAGCGACAGCGGCAAAAAATTCAGCGTAAGTGCACTAGGAGGGAGCACAACCCTGGAAGATAGGGACTGCTGCAGTACCACTAGACTGAGTGAAAGTGCGCTGGCGGGTCTCTATCGCGAACAGGGCGGTGACAAAGGCAGTAAGGGTGAGGTCACTTGGGTGCTGACTAAGAAAGTGGTCGCGGGCAGTGGCTAGGCGGTCAGGAAGACGTGTGGCTATTGGGTAAAGGGTAGTGCAAAGTGGCGGCGGGCATCGGGCGTGGCGGAGCGAGGGAGCTTACTGTCGACATGGACGACCAGGGAGTGGCCGTCCTGGCGCTGGCCGGTCAGCTGGCGACGGAGGTCGACGAGCCATGCCTCAAACTCAACAGCCCGACCCTCTGCGTCCAGGCGGAGGAGAGAGTCCGCCATCACTACGGCTGCAGCAGCTGACTGCCGCTGACAAGGGGAGGAGGGCGGTGGAGAGCAGGGGGGAGCGGTGGATTGCGGTGGATTGAGGTAGAGAGCGGTGGAGTGCGGTGGAGAGTGGTAGAGTGCGGTGGAGAGCGGTAGAGCCGGGCGGCAGGAGCGCCGGCTCAAAGGTGGAGCCAAGGCCGGCGGGTCAGCGCGGCTCGGCGATAGGAAGGGCTGGGGCAGGCTGGGACCGGCGGAGCTGCGGCCGGTAAGAGAGCAGTAGGCGCGGGGCTGGCGGGCGCGAGGCCAGCAGGCGCAGGGCTGGCAGGCATGGGCCAGCAGGCGCGGGGCCGGCGGGCGCGGGGCCAGTAGGCGCGGGGCTGACGGGCGCAGGGTCAGCAAGCGCGGGACTAGAAGGCGCGGGGGCCAGCGGGACACGGGGTCGGCGGTGAGGGGCTGGCGAAGGCGAGGCCAGTGAGCGCCGGGCTGGCGAATGAGGGGCCAACGGGCGCGGGGCTGGCGCAATCCGGGCCAGCGGGCGAGGGGCTGGCGAAAGTGGGGCCAGCGGGAGCGGGCGAAATCGGGGCCAGCGGGACACGGGGCCGGCGGCGAGGGGCTGGTGAATGTGGGGCCAGCAGGCGCGGGGCTGGCGAATGCAGGGCCAGCGGGCGCGGGGCTGGCGAAATCGGGGCCAGCGGGCACAGGGCTTGCGAAAGCAGGGCCAGCGGGCGTGGGGCTTGCGAAAGCAGGGCCAGCGGGCGCGAGGCGGGAGAAATCGGGGCCAGCAGCGCAGTGCAGGCGGGCGCGGGGCCAGCAGGCGTGGGGCCAGCGAGCGCGGGGCTGCCGATCGCGGGGCCAGCGGGCGCGGGACTGCGGGCAGCTAGGTACAGGTGGGGAGGCTCTAATAAAGCGCGTGCGTGATACCTTCTCCGAGTATAATTGTAGCTAGAATGTGAGATTCAGGATGGTTCTAAGGGGTTGTATGTTTTAAGAGTACGCACCTGCCTAGCCTATAGCAACATATACGGCACGAGGGTGTACAAAATCTCATACCGCAACCTCCTTTCTTCACATGAGAAATGCCAACGCCGGGATGCGGGCCGCTCCTTGCATGGCTGTGATTCACTGCACCACATCCTTCTATAGTATGGAGAGTGCTGCAAGGCTAAAGAGACAAAGGGGCTCGCCTACTCATATAGGGGCGCTCAGCTCAGCAGTGGTACCCGGATGAAGCCTTCTATGGACATCGTGCACAATGATCATCAGCCCTTAGTGCCGCAGCATATGCGACTTGTAACCAGAACTCTGCACTTCAGGGCACGGCACCACACGCTATTCCACACGAGTCAGCACCCACCCACCCACCCACCCACTGACCCCCCTTTCACCAGCATCGCGTACCCTGATCGCTCAACTCATTCATGCATCTGCAGCTGGAGTGAACGTGAGCGACACACTGTTCACGCAGTGCCTCTCATCCGTGGGCGTGGGGAACCCCTCCCCTTTGAACACGTGGCCCAGGTGCCCCCACACGCCGCACACACAATCTCCACACGCCGCCCGTCCGCGTCGATGTTTCTCTTAATTGCCCCGGGCAGCCCGTCGAAGAAAGCCGGCCAGCCGCAGCCCGAGTTGAATTTGGTGGTTGACTTGTACAGAGGCGTGCCGCAGCCAGCGCAGCCATACACCCCCTCTTCGTAGTGCTTGTTGTACTGGCCAGTGCCGGGGTACCTGGTAGCGCGAGGCAGATACATGTCAGGAGGGGAAGGGTGCAGGCTTGGTTCTGCTTAGATCCAGAAAAGATCGCATGGCGGCACCTAGGGACCATGTGAAAGCTCTGGAAGCCACATGGCCATCCATCACGCTGAGCCCTCGCTCTTAGAACGGGCTATTTCGGGGCTGCTGATGGTGACGTATGATTAGAGCTATTCCAGTTTACCGACTCAGTCCTATCTCCCGTGCTCGTGTGCCTCGTCCAAAAGACTGCAGGATTTAGTTGTGTCAAACTCCCTCGTCTCTCTTCCCTCCCTCGCCCCTTCCTTCCCCTCCTTTCCCCCCCTTTCCCCCTCCCCGCACTCACTCGGTGCCCTTCATCCGCAGGATGCGGAACTGCTCGGGCGACAGGATGGCGCGCCACTCCTCCTCGCTCTTCGCCACCGCCATCGGCGCCTCCTCGCCGCCTCCGCCGCTCGCCTGCGCGCTGCCGGGCCGCGCCCACGAGGAGGCCACCACCACGCCCAGCAGCACCGTCCGCACCGTATTCACCCTACCAGCGGCTGCCCCGTGTCCCGGTAATCGAAGAGCCACGGGGAGACTGTGATTTTTGCTTAGTCGCTTCCTGGCGAGTAGCGAGGATGCGGATGGAGGAACCGAGAGCAGAGAGGTTGCGGTGGCCATGAAAGAGGTCGAAAATGAACTCTATGTGCAGATGGCGCACGAGAGCACAGCGATACGCGACCACGACGAAGGATCCAGAAGTCGCCAAGACTGGGTAGATCACAGAGCTGCTGGGACAGCGAAGTCGCGTGTGGGGCAGTGGAGGGAAGAAAAGCAATTGAAGGTGGGAGGAAGGCGAGGATGAGGAAGCAGATGCAGAGGGAAGGGCGATTGGAATGCGCTATTGCACGCCTCGGTAAGCGGGTGGACACGTGGGGTCAGCTTGGACGACGTGGATGCTCTCTCTGACTGCCAAGTCGATGGCGCAACCAGTTCGTTGCCACGAAATTTATGTTTCGCCAAAGCCGTACTCGCTTTCCTCCACAAACAAAGGACGCGCAACTTTTTTCTTAAGTGCCAAAGAATTCGCCGTAGATTTTATCCAACCTTCCATCAAATGTCCTCCCCATCTCGCCACATTGAATGGGCGCGATTCCTTCCCGCCAGCTTGCGTGAATAACGTGTCATACAGCCCAAGCCCAGCCCAGCCATTCGAGCAGCGCGAGATGCGACGGCTGCGTGTGCATGACCGCAGCAACCATGGCTGGATGTACCTCGCAACGCCCCATGGTCTCGTCGCCGCTAGTACCGTTTCGCAGCCTCGAGCTCGACTCGGCCCCTCGTCCTCCCTATCCGCTGATATCCGCCATCTTTCGAATCCGTCAGTCGGCAGCGCAGTCGATGGGTGCGTGCAGCCATCACCACCGCCTTCTCCTTGTCACTCGCTCACGTCTCCTCCTCTTTTTGCCGCTCGCGGGTTCACGTGATTAGCAGAGCGCCCGTTGCGAATCCAGAGGCGTTACTATGGCGATCTTCAAGTTGGCGCGAGAGACGAGTCTGCTCTGCCACGGGGCGTCAGTTCTTGCTGCTGTGGCGCTCGCTCACTGGATGCTAGCGTGCCACGTCAGCGCGCAGCCTGGGCCAATCACGTTCCGCATTGACCCGAGACGGTCGAATTTGACGTGGGACTCGGAGATTCCGCCGAAGGAAGGGCAGCTCGCGTCGGTTGTCGTTATCCCGGGCGGCTTCCCCCTTGCGGGCACTATAACGGTGGACGTCGTCGAGTGCACGGATATACGAACGTCCTTCAATGTCACCAAGGTGTGTGCGGAAGGGACGTTTCGAAGTGGTGGGTGGGCGAGGAGGGGGGAAGGAGGGGAGCATGTATAGGAGGGGCGAGTAGAAGGAGGCAGACTTTCTTCTTACAGTCGACTCACAATATTCCACTCACATCCTTCTCCCCCCAACCCCCAACATCCCCCCACCCCGGTTCCCCTCCCAGGCGGCCATCAGCAACACGTCCATCACGGGCATCACCCCCGGTGGCCGCCCCGCCCCGGCGTCCATCATTGCTCAAGCCAACGCCACCGGTGCTATCGCCGCTTCCGGCCCCACGCTCAACCTCTCCAGTCAGCCGCCCGCCCTGCCCTTACCGTGCCTTCACTTGTTTGTCCCTTTGCGCTCTACCTTACGTCAATGCCTGCTCTCGACTATCCGACCCCCCGTTTCCTTCCCCCCCCGTCCGCTCTCCTCCCCCCTGTTCTTCCCCCCTCTTTCCTGCGTCTGCTGCCACCCACCCTCTCTCGCACAACCCTCGGCTCTCCACATCCCCAGTGACGCCCTTCAGCCCCAGCACAAGCACCGCCCCTCCCATTCCGTACCTCCTTGCACTGCCCATGCCACTCCCCCTTTCCCCTCCCACTCCTGACTCCCGACCTCACCCCCGCCAGCCTCGGAGGTGCCACCATTCGACGTGGACCAGACGTACGGCACCTTCCAGTCCGTGTGGACCGTGCCCACCGCCACGTGGCGCTCGGTGAAGGGCTTCTTCGCGCCCAGCAGGGACTTTGGCGGCGGCCCCTTTGCCGCCTCTAACCTGTCGGCTCCCCTGGCGTCGTTTGGCTTTGTGAATGGACAGCTGAGCACTGTGAGCAGTGTGAGGGGGGAATGGGCACCTGAGCACTGTGAGGTGCGGCAGGTGAGCACTGTGAGGCAGGTGAGCACCATGTGAGAGGATGAGGACACATGAGCACCCTCACTCCGAATCGGCCCTGTGACTCCCCTGTGATGCGGCACCTCACTCCCCCCTTGTGTCCGGTGCTGTGCGTGTGCCCCCTCAGATCCCCGGCAACCAGTCGCGCGTGGACCTCGTCATCAACTCCACCGCTGTCTTCACCGCCAGGTGGGGGGGGATGGGAGGGAGAGGGACTGCACGTGGGGGGAGGGCAGGGCGGGGAGGTGGTGGAAGAGACACCGAGGAAGTTTGTGATGCGCATATGAGGTGCTCTCAGCCCTTGCAGCTCTCTTCTCTCTCCCCTCACTTCCTGTCGCCCCTCTCTCTGCCAATGCGCTGTTGCATGGCAGGCAGCTGCTGCTGACGGCCAACGCAGCGGCCTCGATCATGAATATAGTGATGGGGCAGGGCCATGTACGCATGCGCATCATTCTGAGGGGAGTGGCAGACAACCCCTGTGCCGTCGCCCCAACACTGCCGCCCTCACCCCGCTCGCGCCCTTGACTGTGCTTGATCTGCTGTGACCCACGCGTCCTTCTGTTCACCCGGTGATGAGCAGCTGTGCTGATTCTCTGGTGTTTTGTGGATGTGAATTTGCAGAATATGAATATGCTGTCTATTGTTTTCTGTTGCAAAGGAGGTGAACTTCTAGCATTGTAAATAGGATCTTGGAAGTTGGAAGTTGGAACAATCAGCTTGATATCTGAGTTAGGTATGTGTCCCTTGGATGGAGATGAATAGTGCACTTCCAAAGTACATGCTTGCTATTCGATTTGATGCATAAGGGCATGGAACATTACGCAAAATCAGTTGTTCCTGCACATTGCAGTGTAGGCAGCCCAAGGAAGAAATATGCAAGGCAAGGTTACATGTTCTCATGTCCCCTTCCAACCCCTATCATCTTCCCAGGGCTCCAACAGTTAACCCTCGTGGAGGCAGTCAACCAGCCCCTGCCCCCCCCCCCTTATATGCTCGCACTTTCCACTCCCCCTCGGCAGAACCAGCAGCAGGAGCTGGCAGTGTTGAGGGCATGACGAGCCGGGCATATTCCAGCCGTGTTGAAGCCCTCTTCCTCAACCTTCGCCCCTAGCTCAACTGCAGTCCGCCCCACACCTTGCACACACGCCTTCACGCTGCACGCTTCACCCAGTCTGGCGGGGGTCCAGCGGGGCGAGGTCGGCCTTGGCGGGGCCGTTGATGCAGCGGCCATGGTGGTCGAACTGCGAGCCGTGGCACGGGCAGTCAAAGGTGGCGTCGTTGGGGTTCCAGTGCACGCTGCACCCCAGGTGCGGACATGTGGCTGGGGGGGGGAAGCGGAGGGGGAGGGAGGGACGAGTAGTGAGCGGATGAAGAGAGTGGGCATTGTGGCAAGGCGGTCACATCCACAGTCCGGCATGCATGGCGGGCAGTGCATACGTGCACCCCAGGTCTCACCCGAATACGCGTGCACGAGTCCGTCCTTGTCTCGGAACACAGCCGCCTTGCGCAGCCCCATGCTCACCACAGCGCCGCACTCGCGCCCCAGGTCCTCTATGGCCACACCGTCCGTGCCCACCAGGGGCAGCCAGTCCTTGTAGCCCTGCCCGGGGGGGGTACGCAGCAGGGTCAATCAGAGGCGTTATGAGTGGTGCAAGTACAAGAAGATAAATAAAGACTCAATGCGAGCACAGTTTTACATATAACCGAGAGGTGATGACAGCGCAGGCGTCGCCACAGTTCCTAATAAAACCTGCCTGGAGTGGTGCTGACAGAGGGGGGTGCTACCTGAATGGTGTGGATCACAACGGAGCCAGCCAGCGACAAGGACTTCATGGAGACGGGCGGCAGGCGGGACGGCGAGTAGATCTCGATGAACGGATTCGGGCGGCGGCAGATGAGATCGGATATGACCATGGCGGCTATAGTGCCGCCCGTCATGCCCTGCCCGCTGTCCCCTGCTCGCGTACAGGGGCGGGGGATGAGGGGCGGTGTTAAAGGGCAATCGAGATAGAGGAGGCACAGCACAGGGCAAAAGCTGGGCGCATACGGAGGGGAAGAAAGACGAGAGCTGCAAGTGAACAGACTGTTGGTTATGTACGTGTAATAGCGCATGTGTGCAAGGTAAGAGCTGCCAGCACAGCACCCGTACCTGTGGCGATGTACGTCTGGGTGGCGTCCATGGGATTGCGCCCGTACAGCCCCAGCAAGTCAACAGGCTCATACACCTGCCATGCCATGGGCAGGGCCACGGGGCAGCAGGCGGCCATGGGAAAACAAACAGCTAACAGCACGAGCCGTGTTGCCAAGCATCCCCAGAGGCTTCGTATCCAACCCCCCCATGACTGCACTCTCCATGCCCCCCACCCACCACGCCGCTCCACCGGAAGAGCGTCTCTTGCGCCATGGGCCAGCGCGGCCGCGCCCAGCGCTCCAGGTCGCCCCACACGTCCTGGTACTGGGTGGCACGCATGCCCACAGGGTGGTCGCCGCCGCCCACCACCAGCACGTCGTGGTCCGCCTGCTCCTCCACGCGCACGTAGTGGTAGGGCGAGTGCGTGCTCCACCAGTTGGCGCGCCTGGCGGGGGGAAGGGGAAGAGCTGTTGAACCGGGAGGGAGGTGGATATGCTGCCAATCGATGGACCCATGTGGAGTCTGTCGCACTGGTCAATCTCTTGAACAAAACGCATTGGGAAAACAGATGGGCGAAAGGGCAAGACACAAGGCTGCAGGGAGAGGAGAGGTGCTGATGCGTGATGTGGCCCAGGAGCAGGCCCAAAACATCCAGGCACGCACTTGACACTGCCCTTGTCGAGTTTGAGCCCCACCACGTAGCTCCTGTCAGCGGGCTGGCGCGCGTGCACAAGCAGGTTGTGGTTGATGGGCGAGTTGGTGGCCAGCACCACCGCCCCCGCATGCACCACGCCGCGCCCGTCTTTTGTCGATACCACTGATCCGGCCCCTGAGCCCGTGACGGAGCCGTGCTCGCGGAAGGCGATGGTCTGCTCGAAGATGCGCCCGCCCAGCCGCACAAAGGCGTCCGCTAGCCCGTTCAGGTACCTGGGGCGGGAGGAGCGCCGGATGAGTACAGTGGTGAGGTGAGGTGAGGTGAGGTGAGGTGAGGTGAGGTGAGGGAACTCCTGATGAATCGGCACGAGGGAAGAGAGCAGAGAGCGCACAATGGCGAGAGGCTCATGCTGGCACGCACGTGCTTGCTCACATGAGCGGGTGGAACTCGGCGGACGAGGGGAAGCACAGGGCCCTGCCCATGGAGCCGTAGAAGGGGTCGCCCTTGCGGTCCACCATGTGCACGTCGTTAAAGCCCGCCCTCTTGCTCGCCTCATACTCCTGGGAGAGCGTAAAGGGAGAGGAGTGGTGGGGGGAGTGGAATGGGAGGAAAGGTATTGGGAAGAGCGAGTGAGGGATTGGGAGGAGGAAGAGAGAATGGATGTGGGGGAAGGGGAAAGGAGGACGCAAGGCCAGTGCTATAGAAAACAACAGCAGCAGTAACATGGTGGTTACCATGTGGAGCATTTCCATTGTGGACTGCTTGGAGTCGTGCGGGAACAGGTACCCATCGAGGCGCGTGAACTTGCACTCAATGCCCTCGCGCTGCACCGTGTCCTCGATGGAGTCGATGGCCTGGCGGTGCGACTCGCCCACGAGGAACGTCTTGTCTCGCCCGAAGCTCTTCTCGAGGTGCATGTAGTAGTCGTCGTTCCACGCCATGATGTGCGCCGTCGTCCGCCCCGTCTGCCCCGACCCTGCACACCCGCACCGCAACGCAAGCAGGCGCGAACCAAAGGGGGAGCAACAGGGGCCAATGAGGCGAAATGGGGCAGGATGTGGAGGTACTAGCTGGGGACGGCGGCAGTGGTACGGGGAGGGGGAAAGGAGGGATCATTCCAGCAGGCCATGGCCCTGACCGATGCATCGGCGCTCCAGCAGCGCCACGGACTGCCCCTTCCGCTGCAGGTGGTACGCGATGCTCAGCCCCGCCATCCCGCCCCCGATCACTGCCACGTCAGCGTGCACGTGCGACTCCAGCTTGGGGAAGCGCGGCCTGAGGTCTAACTGCCCCCAGACCGTGCGCCGCAGCCCCGGCAGCGCCTCCGCCTCCTGCACATCGCGCTCCGCGCCCGCCGCGGGTCGCATGCCCGCCATGGGCGCTACTAGCGTCCGACGAGAGAACGGCCGGGTGAGAGGGGACGCTGGGTTGATCCTCGCGACCCCGCGGCTTGGGCCCTGGGTACTGTTAGGTTGCTTAGCGCGTTCCGCTGGCGTCTGAAAGAAAAGGTTTGGGGATTGCAGATGGGAGATGCCGCGCAGGAACTGACAGCGAGTTCCTGTCAATAGCGCGGACGAGGAGCCCGTGAATCTGAAGGTGCCGGGCGCGAGCAACGCACGGCAGGCGGAAAGCAGCGCTGCATGGAGGGCGGCGCGGATGGCGGCTGACATAAGCCACACGCGAAGCGAAGAGCAGACTTCGTCGCGGATCTGACAGGGGCTGAGCGACAGCGATGGACAAAACAGCAGGAGCAGGTATGAATGCCATTTCGGCACGCCGTGGAAGCGGGTATCATAACGAAGCAGGCTTTCCTGGGAGACGTTAAGGGAAATGGCGACTAGGGTGACAAGGCAACCTTATTGATTGAGGCGCCTATGATGGGCTAGGTAGCAGGGCACCTACTAGGTTGGCGTGCATGTGCAATGAGGGGCGATTATGCGTGACACCTGGCAGAGCAGGCTGCGAACGCAAAGCAACTTCGAACAATATGTACGCGACATTGGCACTCTTTCAAATTCAAACATCGGAGATGCTAAAACACTTCTCTATACGTTTCAATGCACCTAGGTGTAAGATTCGTATTCGGTGGCACTGTGCAATATCGAAGCTTCCCATATGATACGATTCTACTGCTGGATGCATCCCCCCCAAATGTTTCGTGCATGAACTGGTGGAATGTGGGCGGAAAGCATAGGCGGAGGCGAGCACAGCTGGGGGAAGAGCGCCGGCTGGTTGGCTCGTGTGTCACGCAATTCGCAGGGTGATGTGGCACCCCGCCATGCCACGCAAGCAGGCCTCCTGGGGAAATGCACCTCCGCCAGCACAGCTGTGCTTGCGGAGATCCCGATGCCGCTCCCCCAAACGCCCAGCTGCGGTCACTTTCGTTCCCCCGCCTCCCCGCCCCTCCATCGCAACTATCCGCCTGGCAGCGGTTGCTTGCTGGTGGCTCCAATTCAAATCCGCTTCCTGCCTCCCCTGATTGCACATTCCCTACGTCGCCTCGAGATCTCCATTAGCTAGCAGCTAGCGTTGTAGGAGCTGCTCCGCAGACCAGCTAGCTCCAACGCTGCTTCCTCGCTTCGGGGAGGAAGATTCTTGGGATCGTCTCAATCGTCTCGCGTCTTCCACCGAGTCGTCGTTCTTTCGACATCGCGGAGTTGCCCTGAGATCCCAGGAGGCTCACTCACACCCACGCACATCCTCCACGCCATCTTCCGACCCCGACATCTACCGCCGCAAATCCGCCCTCCATGGCCTCCCGGATTCTCAGCCGCGTGTCCCGGAGACGACTCTGCGCTGTCGCGGACTCCGCGCTACCTGCCTATGCGCCCACGGGAGCCCTGCGCGCGTTCGGCGGCGTGCGGTGGTTCGCGACGAGCCCCGAGGAGAACGACGTGGTGGTGATCGGCGGCGGGCCGGGCGGGTACGTGGCGGCTATCAAAGCGGCGCAGCTCGGCATGAAGGTCACGTGCGTCGAGAAGCGCGGCGCGCTCGGCGGCACGTGCCTCAACGTGGGATGCATTCCGTCCAAGGTGCGTGGGGGACCAAGGAAATAAAAGCTTAGAGGGGTGCGTACAGGGTCGGCGTTGACAACTAGGTCAAACGAACGTGGATTTTGACATTGAGGGGAATCATTCAGAAGGAACTGAATTCATAACGCGGATGTCGATGCGCCGCAATGCAGACCGCGGCAGAACGTGATTCCAGCGCGACGCCGTTGCTCCCCGTACCTCCATGCACCGTCTCTCTCTTCAGCGGAATCGAAGCAATCTGATATGCACCGCATGCACCGAAAGCACCCCATACGCCTGACTAAACAACCCCTCCTCTGCCATCCCTCGGAAATCGACAAGCGGACTTCATCGTTCAACTCTCTCCCCCCTCCCCCCCGGCTCCCCACCCCAAGTTCCTACGGCTGTCCCCCAAGGCACTCCTCGAGTCGTCGCACATGCACCACGAGGGGAGGCACTCCCTCCTGTCCTCCTCATGCACCTCTTCACTCCCTCTCCCCATCTCCCTCTCCCCATCTCCCCGCCCCCCTCCCACCTTCACCTCCCCCCCTCCCAGGCCCTCTTGGAGTCGTCTCACATGTACCACGAGGCGAAGCACTCGTTCGCGGCGCACGGCATCAAGGTGGCGGGGGTGGAGGTGGACCTGCCGGCCATGATGGCGCAGAAGAGCGCGGCCGTGGCGGGGCTGACCAAGGGTATCGAGGGGCTGTTCAAGAAGAACAAGGTCACCTATGTGAAGGGCCATGGGAAGGTGGTGGGGCCGCACGAGGTGGCCGTTGACCTGCTCGACTCGCCGGGGGAGACCAAGACCATCGGCGCGCGGAACATCATTATCGCCACGGGGTCGGACGTGCGGCCGCTGCCGGGGCTGCAGATCGACGAGAAGAAGATTGTGTCATCCACGGGTGCGCTGAACCTGGACGCCGTGCCCAAGAAGCTCGTGGTGGTGGGCGGCGGGGTGATCGGGCTGGAGCTGGGGTCGGTGTGGGGGCGGCTGGGCGCGCAGGTGACGGTGGTGGAGTTCATGGACGGCATCGGCGGGTACATGGACAACGAGGTGCGCAGGGCGTTCCAGCGCACCCTGCAGAAGCAGGGCTTCAAGTTCATGCTCTCCACCAAGGTCGTCTCCGCCGACGCCTCGGGCAGCGGCGTGGTGCTGGAGGTGGAGCCCGCCAAGGGCGGCGAGCGCACCAAGCTGGACGCGGACGTGGTGCTGGTGGCGACGGGGCGCGTGCCGTACACGGAGGGGCTGGGGCTGGAGGAGGCGGGCGTAAAGAAGGACACGGCGGGGCGCATTGTGGTGGACGACAAGTTCCGGTCGTCCGTGCCGAGCGTGTTTGCCATCGGGGACGCCATCCCGGGGCCCATGCTGGCGCACAAGGCGGAGGAGGACGGCATCGCGTGCGTGGAGAACCTGGCGGGCAAGCACGGGCACGTCAACTACGGCACGGTACCGGGGATTATTTACACGCACCCTGAGGTGGCCATGGTGGGCAAGACGGAGGAGGAGGTGAAGGAGTCGGGTGTGGAGTACCGCGTGGGTAAATTCCCCTTCATGGCGAACAGCCGTGCGCGCACCATCGGGGATGCGGAGGGGCTGGTGAAGATCATCGCGGAGGCGGCGACGGACAAGGTGGTGGGCGTGCACATCATGGGGCCGAGTGCGGGCGAGCTGATCATGGAGTGCGTGCTCGCCATGGAGTACGGCGCCAGCAGCGAGGACATCGCCCGCACATGCCACGGCCACCCCACTCTCAGTGAGGCGGTCAAGGAGGCGGCGCTCGCCACGCATGGCAAGCCCATCCACATGTGAGGCGGGCATATGCCAACCGTCCCTGTCCCGGCAGTGATAGCATGGTTCCAGCTGTACCGGTACTAGGCTGGTATTATTCGTAACAATACATACCCGTTCACCTGGGCACGCCATGTGCTAGTCAGGTCCTAATCCAGTTCTATCTGCTTGAATTGCTTGTAGATTTGTGAAGTACAGTTACCAATCCATCTACATACAGGTAGCTAATAGTAAACTTGAACACCAATTAAAACACAGGCCAGACATCTAGTTCTTCATTTAAGAGCAGGACTGTTTGAAAGCGGGGCGTGTCAGCTATGAGCAAGGAGTCAGCCTACAGACAGACACTAGAACGGTTCCTATGCTATGTGGTAGTCACTGCGCATGTGTCCAGTTAGCCAATGCGCCATGCCAGTGAATCAGGTAGCACAGCAGTTAGCAGTCAGCAAGTCAGTGATCAGTTGTCGGTGAGTCACCAGTCAGCATGTGAGTCACCAGTCAGCATGTGAGTCACCAGTCAGCATGTGAGTCACCAGTCAGCATGTGAGAGCAGGTTGCACTGCAGCAGCACCACCGTGGCCATGCACCCACGCCTCCACCTTGTCTGCAGCACTCGGCACTGCCCCCACATGCCAAGCGCCGTCGCCCGCGGCTCTTGCAGCTCGTGCTGGCATCGGCACTCCTGCTCGTGGCACGGACGAGCAGCGCAGCACGTGGCCACGATGCAGTGCAGCTGTGGGGGGCAACGGCTGCAGCACCGTGCTGCCCGTCGACGCCCCTGCCATAGGCGGCACCTTCCCATTCACGCCATCCGTTGTTTCCTCGCTGCTTCTTGCTCTCCCACCGTCCACCAGTCTGAGCCATTCCTCCACCCTCCGGCTGGCATCCCTGGGTGCTTCCCTGCTCGCTCTCCTCCTCTCCTCACATGCCATCTCAGACCCATGACGGCCACCTATGGCTGACCTGGAGCCTGCGGATGCTGAGCTGGAAACAACACCGGCTGACCTGGAATGTTGCAAAGCACTCACCGAATCCCCACTGCCCTCCATGCCGCACTTGGCTGCCCGAAGTGGCGCGGCCTTTCTCTCGGCAGCTGCAGCCTCGCTTGCTGCTGCCCGCCTATCTGCTGCTCCTGCCCCTCTCCCCAACCCGCGCATCAAACCTTCAATGTCCAAATTGGCAAGCTTATCTGCCACATCAGCAGCCGCGCTGGCACCTCTGTGTTCCTTCCCCGCGTCCTGTACGTCTAGGCTGGCAGCAGGGGTGAAGAAGTCGTCGTGGTGCTCCGCCGGCCAGGTCAGATCCGAGTCCCACAGCAGCCACCCCGAACCCGACCTTGCCTCGGCCAGAGAGCTCGCTGCTGCACACTCCATGTCACCGGAACCCATGTTGCCACCGGGGCATTGCGCATGGGGTGCACGCGTACGAGCGGGCTCAAGCACAGGTGCAGGTGCAGCAGCAGGGGCGGCGGCGGCAGCAGCACCATGCGGGGCGCGAACCGGGGAAGCGAGAGGCAGAGCACACTCCGGTTCTTGGCACACTATGTCAGCAGCGAATGCCACGTCAGCATCGCCATCCACCGCTATCCCGTCAAGGGGCGGAAGAGCGGAGATGGCAGCGAGGGCGGCGCCATGGGCGGCGGACGCAAGGGAGGGGGAGGGGGAGGCGCCAGCGGGTCTGGGAGAGCGCCACGGCACTGGGCGCACTGCGTGCTGGGGGCGACGACGACCGGGCTTAATACTCTCATGGGTGTGCCCGCCCTTACACGGCTCGGACTCGTTGACTACCCGACCCCGATGCGCTGCATCAAGCGTTTCATTAACCTGCTCGTGCCTCTTATGCTGCTCTACAGCTAGGGCTATGAAACCAGAGGCGGCGCCAGAAGCGGCGGGACATGCGGGGCCCTCCGCTGCAAGGCCCTCGGCGCGGAAGGTGCCTGGAAGCTGCGGCGGAATGTGGGGGACGTCAGGGGAGAGCGCCAGCGACTGCTGCGCGGAGAGGTGGCGCACCACCTTGTGCCAGTACGCGTTCGTCTTGCTCTGCTTCGTTCCCCGCGGACCGCCTGTTGCGGGGATAGCGGGAGGCAGTTGCGGAGGAATTAGAAGAGTCAAGAGCCTAGAAGAGACCAGGAGGCTGAGAGTTGTGCTAACTCACTAGTTCGGCTAGTGCTGGCCAGAACGGCAGTGCCGCGAGAGGCGGGGGCGCGTACCATTGTGGAACTTGGCGAGCAGCTCCCAGTCGTGCGCGCGGATGGCGCCCGGGCAGTAGCGCAGCCAGTAGCGCACCACCGTGTCCTCCGCGTGCGCCAACTCGCGACACGCCGTCCAGCGGCCGGCGCGGTGCCCCCACGCGTCGCGGTGATACTCCTCCGAGATCTGCAGCGGGCCGATGCTGCTGCCCGCGTCGCCGTCCGGACAGTTGAGCCTGCGGGGGGGACGTAGCGGGTGGAAGGGGGTGAAAGGGGATACCGAGAGATACGAAATGGCGAAGAAAATAGCGGGAGACGGGGGGGTAAGAGAGAGCGAGAGTTGATGCACGACATGAGGGGAGCAGCTTGAGCCTCGGGCAAGGAGCGGCGGCGACCGCACCTGTTGCTGGACTCGATGAACCGCAGCGCGTTCAGCAGCGGCCGCAACTCGCGCTTCGCCACCTCCAGCTCTCTGTGCGGCACGCGTTGCCCGCGGTCCCACTGAACGCGGCAGCCCCGAGACGCGCTGCGGAGAGCAGCGCCGCCCACGATGGACCCCTTGTCACGTTCCGTTTCCGAGCCGAAGGCCGTGCCGAGCCACACCCCGTGCCGAGCCATGACGAGGCTCGGTGGCTTGGATGGATCTAGGTTCGAGGCGCTGCCGTGCCCCATTGGAAGGACAACTGGCGAGAGCTACGCGAGCAAGCACGGAGAGGGAGTGCGGAAGGCAAGAAAAGCCAAGCAATCGCTACTCGTGTTAGGAAATCTGGCTGTTGGCCCAACAGTTGGCTACTCTCAATGAGAAGCTGGTTCTGAGAAGGACGATCAGCAGCTACAGTCAATCAGAAACACGCCAAACTAGAATGTAAAAGCAGTCAATCGAAATTGCACCGAGCTTGTAGTCAATGAAAGTCGGTGAAACCTAAAAGAGCGAAGAGATAGCAGCTGTGTGAAAGCGACGCCAACGGAGAGACCAACGAGCATGCCATGTTTCGCTTCACTTGCTCGCGCGATGGCAGTGGGCGAGCAGGTTTGGCGGACGAGGGGTTGCTTGGGAAGGCGAGACGAGGGCGAAGAGGGGCGAATTTCGAGTGTCGGGCGGAGATTGCGAATTGTGGCTGTGGTTGCGGCGCAAGGAGTGACGGTGACGCGTGATGCTCGGGTTGCTCGAAAAGCCTCGGATGCCGTTCGCTTGATACATCTGACGGCTCTCGGTGAGATCTTGTGACCCATAAATTGCGCTACGCCAGTCACTTCGGTTCGTGCCCCTCGGGGCCGAGAAGTGCGGGTTGTGTGGCTAGGAGTGCGGATTGCTGCTTCGGTAACTTCAAGAAGCCTTGGTGCGGATGAAGTGTTCCGGCATATGCTACTTTCGTGTTCATCCTATGGCGCTGATAGAAACTTGGACATGGCGATATCTTCTCATAACACAATGGATGTCTAACCCCACTTAAAAACGTATACAATATATTATTTACGCCCTTTTATTCATGCCTTATATCTTCAACGCTCACAGTAGCAGTATTTTTGTGCACACGATGTGATGTGAGTTGCATGAAATTATCCCCTAAATCTGATCATTTGTATCCTATATATTGTGGTACATGGCGAGAGAAGTTATGTCACTTCAAATCACACCTCGATATGTCAAATCTTGATCTGCAGTCAGAAAACACACACCTCGCCTCCAGTGATGTGGTTGGTGAATGCGAGGCTGTGCTACTTGGCTTTCGATTGACTTCCAAGGTCCCATCACCTCAGCCAGCCGGTAATCTCGAGAATGATCATCTCTGCCAAGCCGCCATAGTCTTTCGTTCCTGACTCCTACATATGTGTGCTTTACTTAGCTCGTCTTCGTTCTGGTAGCGGGTGCATGGTTTGCAGTAGCAGTTACTGAATCCAGCGGATCTGTTTCCCGTGGATCCATTCCAAATGGTCAGTCATGCTACAGCATTCGTTGATCATTTGAATTTACCACGGATTCAGTCAGAAATGTTTCTCCGCCAGCTCGGCAGTTGTCTCGAGAGTGCTTTTCCCGATACTTTCAATGAAGATGGAATTAGCCTATTCATAATGCACTACCTCCTGTCTGTTTCACCCTGTGCCCTCACGTCCTCAGGCGAAGTCGTCCCGGATACTGCTCTGCCTCTTTCTCGGTTCGATAGTCCTCGCGCTTCTGCCGGGTCCGGTTCATTCAGAAGACGCCGCCAACGCCACCGCCAACGCTTCCGCGGAGGCAGCGGCGGCAGCAGCGGCGGCGGAATCTGCGCGGGCGACAGCGGAGGCGGTGGCTAAAGCGGCGGAGAGCGAGGCCGCCAAGGACGAGGCGGCGCAGAAGGCGGCGGAGGAGGCGGCGGGGGCAAGCGGGGCGGATAAGGGAGCGGAGGAGGAGAGTCAGAGCAGCATTCCCCCGGCGATAGTGAAGGCAGAGAAGGAGGCGTCGGACATCGTGCCTGACGGTGGGCGCGCTCTCGTGCATTGGCTCTCGCGACGCGGTTTGATCTGGCTGCTCTGAACTTGTAGAATTCCCTTCGGACCGCAGGGAACTGCACAGTGCGCTCTGCGTGGTGCGAATCTCGCAGTCCCGTTGTCGCCCTGACGCCAGTGCACCCTAGCGCTGCCCCGAGTCTCCCTGTGTTCACCTCTCGTCCCTCCCGCTCCCGTCCGGCAGGCGCGTGCAAGAAGGAGATCGCGGCGTTCTGCAGCGACCTGGCGGCGGGCAACCGCACGCTGGAGAAGTGCCTCACGGGGCAGGTCGAGCTCGCCAAGGCGCAGGGGGGGAAAGGTATGCCGCGGCGGGGGGAATCGGGGAGGGGGAATGCGGAGGCGGAAAGGGAGGGTGCAGGGGTGGTAGGGGAGTGCAGGGCGCGGTGTTGTGGGTGATGTGCGAGGGTGGCGTGCAGGCGTGCAAAAGAAGGGGGGGAGAGGGGAGGGGTCAAGAGGACTGCCCGTGGATGGCATTTTCAGCTGCTGCGGGGCGTGCTGTCTGTGCCGCACCATGCATGCCAAATGTTGCTCTGCGCAGCATTACAGCCCCATCCAACGTCGGTTGCGTCATATGGTGTGTGTGTTTGTGTGTGTGTTGTGTGTGTGTGTGTGCGTGTGTGTGTGTGTGCAGGTAGCATGTCGCCCGACTGTCTGCAGGAGATCTATAATTTCAAGATCGAGCTGTACAAGAACATCAGCATCAACAACGAGATGGGTATGCACGCACCACCATCGACAACGAGATGGGTATGCACGCACCACCATCAACAACGAGATGGGTATGCACGCACCACCATCAACAACGAGATGGGTATGCACGCACCACCGTCAACAACGAGATGGGTATGCACGCACCACCATCAACAACGAGATGGGTATGCACGCACCACCATCAACAACGAGATGGGTATGCACGCATCACCATCAACAACGAGATGGGTATGCACGCACCACCATCAACAACGAAATGGGTATGCACGCACCACCATCGACAACGAGATGGGTATGCACGCACCACCGTCAACAACGAGATGGGTATGCACGCACCACCATCAACAACGAGATGGGTATGCACGCACCACCATCAACAACGAGATGGGTATGCACGCATCACCATCAACAACGAGATGGGTATGCACGCACCACCATCAACAACGAAATGGGTATGCACGCACCACCATCGACAACGAGATGGGTATGCACGCACCACCATCAACAACGAGATGGGTATGCACGCACCACCATCAACAACGAGATGGGTATGCACGCACCACCATCAACAACGAGATGGGTATGCACGCACCACCATCAACAACGAGATGGGTATGCACGCACCACCATTCCGCCTCCGCACCATCGCCCACCACACGCTGCACATCGCAATACCTCCCACTCCCTCCCTCACCGCCCTCATCCCTGCTTTCTCCCCTCCCCTTTGCTTCCTCCCTTCCCCTTTGCTTTCTCTCCTCCCCTCTGCCTGATCGCGTCCCCCGCGCCCGCGTGCCCCCAGCGGAGGCATGCAAGGCGGACATAGCTCAGTTCTGCAATGATGGCTTCCTCTACCCCGAACCGGGCAACATCCTCGCTTGCCTCAGGTGCCGTGCGCGCTTGCCTCAGGTGCCGTGCGCCCCTGCCTCAGGTGCCGTGCGCGCTTGCCTCAGGTGCCGTGCTCGCCTGCCTCAGGTGCCGTGCGCGCCTGCGTCAGGTGCTCTTGTGCTCTGGAGCTGTGCTGGCGTGCATCAGGCGGCTGGAGATGAAGATCTAGGTGCTACCGCTGGCTCGTGGCACCATCACCATGGCATGGTCCCTTGCTTGCAGCGCCACATCATCGATTTCCTGTCCCATGCTCCAACCCCCTCCATCCTCTCACTGGCACGTGTGGCAGGGAGACGCGTGGGTCGGGCAAGCTGTCGGACGGGTGTGCGGAGCTGGTGCTGGAGGCGGAGGAGGAGGCCGCGGCGGACTTCCGCATGGACCCGCAGCTGCACGCGCTCTGCTCCAACGACGCTGCCAAGTTCTGCAAGGACGTGCCGCAGGGCGAAGGACTCGTGCAGGAATGCCTGGTGAGCTGAAGGAGGGCCTGGGTGCTGGGATACGAGGGGGAGAGAGTGTGACATCTACGGCCTCCCTAAAGTCTCCAGAATTCCCCTCATCGGTTCTCCAGGCTAGGGTCTCATGTATCTTACTCCCTTGCCTCCTCTCCCCCCACCTTCACTCTCCCCCCCCACGCCCCCCTCCCCCCCCCCCCCCTGCAGCGGCAGCACCGCAGCAGTCTGAACTGGGACTGCCAGGCGGAGCTGTTCCGCCAAGAGGTGGAGAATGCCGACGACGTGCGCCTCAACGTGCGCCTCTTCAAAGGTGCGCCTCTTAAAAGATGATGACAGCGCCTGATGTGATTCTGAGACGCAAAGGTGTGTGGGAGTTGCTGCCACGTTCCGCCCGCCCACACGCCTTCCACATGAAACAGGTCCCTCTGCTGCCAACACCAACCTCTCGCCATTCCTATTCCCTGCCCATCTCTCCCCCCCTCCTTCCTCTCCTACCCCCTCCCCCCGGCACAATATATCAGCGTGCTTGGCGGACAAGCGGCGGTTCTGTCCGGACGTGATTCCGGGGGATGCGCGTGTGAAGGACTGCCTGGAGGGTCACAGGGAGGACAGCGACTTCTCCAAGCAATGGTGCGACACCGTGGGCGGTAGGCGGTGGGCGGTAGGCGGTGGGCGGTAGGCGGTGGGGGGTGGGCGGTGGGCGGTGGGCAGTGGGCGGTGGGCGGTGGGCGGTGGGAGGTGGGCGGTGGGCGGTGGGCGGTGGGCAGTGGGCGGTGGGCGGTGGGCGGTAGGCGGTATGCGGTAGGCGTAGGCGGTGGGCGGTGGGCGGCGGGCAGAGTGGTAGGCGGTGGGCGGTGGGCGGTGGGAGGTAGGCGGTAGGCGGTAGACGGTGGGCGGTGGGCGGTGGGCGGTAGGCAGAGCGGTAGGCGGTAGGCGGTGGGCGGTGGGCGGTTAGCAGAGCGGTAGGCGGTAGGCGGTGGGCGGTGGGCGGTTAGCAGAGCGGTAGGCGGTAGGCGGTGGGCGGTGGGCGGTGGGAGGTTGGCGGTAGGCGGTAGACGGTGGGCGGTGGGCGGTGGGCGGTGGGCGGTGGGAGGTAGGCGGTAGGCGGTAGGCGGTGGGCGGTGGGCGGTGGGCGGTGGGCGGTGGGCGGTGGGCGGTAGGCAGAGCGGTAGGTGGTAGGCGGTGGGCGGTGGGCGGTTAGCAGAGCGGTAGGCGATCGGCGGTGGGCGGTGGGCGGTGGGAGGTAGGCGGTAGGCGGTAGACAGTGGGCGGTGGGCGGTGGGCGGTGGGCGGTAGGCAGAGCGGTAGGCGGTAGGCGGTGGGCGGTGGGCGGTGGGCGGTCGGCAGTGGGCGGTGGGCGGTGGCGGTAGGCGGTAGGCGGTAGGCGGTAGGCGGTGGGCGGTGGGCGGTGGGCGGTGGGCGGTGGGCGGTGGGCGGTGGGCGGTAGGCGGTGGGCGGTGGGCGGTGGGCGGTAGGCAGTGGGCGGTAGGCGGTAGGCGGTAGGCGGTGGGCGGTGGGCGGTGGGCGGTGGGCGGTGGGCGGTGGGCGGTGGGCGGTAGGCGGTGGGCGGTGGGCGGTGGGCGGTAGGCAGGGCGGTAGGCGGTAGGCGGTAGGCGGTGGGCGGCGGTGGGCGGTGGGCAGTGGGCGGTAGGCGGTAGGCGGTAGGCGGTGGGCGGTGGGCGGTGGGCGGTGGGCGGTGGGCGGTGGGCGGTGGGCAGAGCGGTAGGCGGTAGGCGGTGGGCGGTGGGCGGTGGGTGGTGGGCGGTAGGCGGTAGGCGGTGGGCGGTGGGCGGTGGGCGGTGGGCGGTAGGCAGAGCGGTAGGCGGTAGGCGGTGGGCGGTGGGCGGCGGTGGGCGGTGGGCAGTGGGCGGTGGGCGGTGGGCAGTGGGCGGTAGGCAGAGCGGGAGGCGGTGGGCGGTGGGCGGTGGGCGGTGGGCGGTTGGCGGTGGACGGTGGGCGGTGGGCGGTGGGTGGTGGGCGGTGGGCGGTGGGCGGTGGGCGGTGGGCGGTGGGCGGAGCGGTAGGCGGTGGGCGGTGGGCGGTGGGCGGTGGGCGGTGGCCAGTGGGTGGTGGGCGGAGCGGTAGGCGGTGGGCGGTGGGCGGTGGGCGGTGGGCGGTAGGCGGTAGGCGGTGGCCGGTGGGCGGTAGGCAGAGCGGTAGGCGGTAGGCGGTGGGCAGTGGGCGGTGGGCGGTGGGCGGTGGGCAGTTGGTGGTAGGCGGTAGGCGGTGGGCGGTGGGCGGTGGGCGGTAGGCAGAACGGTAGGCGGTAGGCGGTGGGCGGTGGAAGGTGGGCAGTTGGTGGTAGGCGGTAGGCGGTGGGCGGTGGGCGGTAGGCAGAACGGTAGGCGGTAGGCGGTGGGCGGTGGAAGGTGGGCGGTGAGCGGTGGGCAGTGGGCGGTGGGCGGTGGGCGGTGGGCGGTGGGCGGTGGGCGGTGGGCGGTGGGCGGTGGGCGGTGGGCGGTGGGCGGTGGGCGGTGGGCGGTGGGCGGTGGGCGGTGGGCGGTGGGCTGTGGGCGGTGGGCGGTGGGCGGTAGGCAGAGCGGTAGGCGGTAGGCGGTGGGCGGTGAACGGTGGGTGGTGGGCGGTTGGCGGTGGGCGGTGGGCGGTGCGGTGCGGGGGGCGGTGGGCGGTTGGCGGGAGGCGGTGGGCGGTGGGCGGTGGGCGGTGGGCGGTGGGCGGTGGGCGGTGGGCGGTGGGCGGTAGGCGGTAGGCGGTAGGCGGTGGGCGGTGGGCGGTGGGCGGTAGGCAGAGCGGTAGGCGGTAGGCGGTGGGCAGTGGGCGGTGGGCGGTGGGCGGTGGGCAGTTGGTGGTAGACATGGGCATGAGCCGAGCCTGGCTCGGCTCGGCTCGTTTGGGGTCGAGCCGAGCCGGCTCGCCGGTCGAGCCGGCTCGGCTCGCCTCGAGCCGGGTCCTCAGGATCCCTGGCTCGGCTCGTGAAAATGGGGTCGAGCCGGGGCCGGCTCGCCGGCTCGCCGGCTCGGCTCGGCTCGTCAGAGGGGCTTGTGCGGGCTCTCAATTGGGGCCACGGGGTTTGGGGTCTCTAGTATAGGGGATAATCCATATTATTTAGCTGATCGTCTGCTCCTACATCTTACAAAACTATCAGGAGGAGCTGCCGGTTTAAATATGGCTGGCTGAGGTCGATAGACTAGCGCGACAGGGTGAGGTTAGGGTTGGCAGACAATATTGGCAGGGGAGGGGTTGTCGATCTAAAATTTGACAGTCGCGAAACCCCCCTTTCCCTAGCCACGAGCCGGCTGGCTCGAAATCGAGCCAGCTCGAGCCGGCTCGACTCCGGCTCGCCTGATTTCACGTTCGCGAGCCGAGCCGAGCCGCCGGCTCGAGTCGAGCCGAGCCGGCTCGGCTCGAGTCGAGCCGGGTACCAAAAAAGAAGGCTCGGCTCGCCTTTAAGGCGAGCCGAGCCGAGCCGAGCCAGGTGTGGCTTGGCTTATGCCCATGTCTAGTTGGTGGTAGGCGGTAGGCGGTGGGCGGTGGGCGGTGGGCGGTAGGCAGAACGGTAGGCGGTAGGCGGTGGGCGGTGGAAGGTGGGCAGTTGGTGGTAGGCGGTAGGCGGTGGGCGGTGGGCGGTGGGCGGTAGGCAGAACGGTAGACGGTAGGCGGTGGGCGGTGGAAGGTGGGCGGTGAGCGGTGGGCGGTGGGCGGTGGGCGGTGGGCGGTGGGCGGTGGGCGGTGGGCGGAGCGGGAGGCGGTGGGCGGTGGGCGGTGGGCAGTGGGCGGTGGGCGGTGGGCGGTGGGTGGTGGGCGGTAGGCCGAGCGGGAGGCGGTGGGCGGTGGGCGGTGGGCGGTGGGCGGTGGGCGGTGGGTGGTGGGCGGTGGGGGGTGGGGGTAAGGCGGTGGGCGGTGGGCGGTAGGCGGTGGGCGGTGGGCGGTGGGCGGTGGGTGATAGGCAGAGCGGGAGGCGGTGGGCGGTGGGCGGTGGGCGGTGGGCGGTGGGCGGTGGGCGGTGGGCGGTGGGCGGTGGGGAGAGCGGTAGGCGGTAGGCGGTAGGCGGTGGGCAGTGGGCGGTGGGCGGTGGGCGGTGGGCAGTTGGTGGTAGGCGGTAGGCGGTGGGCGGTGGGCGGTGGGCGGTAGGCAGAACGGTAGGCGGTAGGCGGTGGGCGGTGGAAGGTGGGCAGTTGGTGGTAGGCGGTAGGCGGTGGGCGGTGGGCGGTGGGCGGTGGGCGGTGGGCGGTAGGCAGAACGGTAGGCGGTAGGCGGTGGGCGGTGGAAGGTGGGCGGTGAGCGGTGGGCGGTGGGCGGTGGGCGGTGGGCGGTGGGCGGTGGGCGGTGGGCGGTGGGCGGTGGGCGGTGGGGGGTGGGCGGTGGGCGGTGGGCGGTGGGCGGTGGGCGGTGGGCGGTGGGCGGTGGGCGGTGGGCGGTGGGCGGTGGGCGGTGGGCGGTGGGCGGTGGCGGTGGGCGGTGGGCGGTGGGCGGTGGGCGGTGGGCGGTGGGGGTGGGCGGTGGGCGGTGGGCGGTGGGCGGTGGGCGGTGGGTGGTGGGCGGTGGGCGGTGGGCGGTGGGCGGTGGGCGGTGGGCGGTTGGCGGTGGGCGGTGGGCGGTGGGCGGTGGGCGGTGGGCGGTGGCCGGTGGGCGGAGCGTTAGGCGGTGGGCGGTGGACGGTGGGCGGTGGGCGGTGGGCGGAGTGGTAGGCGGTGGGCGGTGGGCGGTGGGCGGCGGGCGGCGGGCGGTGGGCGGTGGGCGGTGGGCGGTGGGCGGTGGGCGGTGGGAGAGGTAGGCGGTAGGCGGTAGGCGGTAGGCGGTGGGCGGTGGGCGGTGGGCGGTAGGCAGAGCGGTAGGCGGTAGGCGGTGAGCGGTGGGCGGTGGTTGGTGGTCGGTGGGCGGTGGGCGGTGGGCAGTGGGCGGTGGGCGGTGGGCAGTTGGTGGTTGGCGGTAGGCGGTGGGCGGTGGGCGGTGGGCGGTAGGCAGAACGGTAGGCGGTAGGCGGTGGGCGGTGGAAGGTGGGCGGTGAGCGGTGGGCGGTTGGCGGTGGGGCGGTGGGCGGTGGGCGGTGGGCGGTGGGCGGTGGGCGGTGCGGGGGGGCGGTGGGCGGTTGGCGGGAGGCGGTGGGCGGTGGGCGGTGGGCGGTGGGCGGTGGGCGGTGGGCGGTGGGCGGTAGGCAGAGCGGTAGGCGGTGGGCGGTGGGCGGTGGGCGGTGGGCGGTGGGAGGTAGGCTGTAGGCGGTAGGCGGTAGGCGGTGGGGCGGTGGGCGGTGGGCGGTAGGCAGAGCGGTAGGCGGTAGGCGGTGGGCGGTGAACGGTGGGTGGTGGGCGGTTGGCGGTGGGCGGTGGGCGGTGGGTGGGCGTTGGGCGGTTTGCGGGAGGCGGTGGGCGGTGGGCGGTGGGCGGTGGGCGGTGGGCGGTGGGCGGTAGGCAGAGAGGTAGGCGGTCGGCGATGGGCGGTGGGCGGTGGGCGGTGGGCGGTGGGCGGTGGGCGGTGGTCGGTGGGCGTCGGGCGGTGGGCGGTGGGCGGTTGACCGTAGGCGGTAGGCGGTGGGCGGTGGGCTGTGGCGGTGGGCGGTGAGCGGTGGGCGGTGGGCGGTGGGTGGTGGGCGGTGGGCGGTGGGCGACGGGCGGTGGGTGGTGGGCGGTGGACGGTGGGCGGTGGGCGGTGGGCGGTGGGCGGTGCGGGGGGCGGTGGGCGGTTGGCGGGAGGCGGTGGGCGGTGGGCGGTGGGCGGTGGGCAGTTGGTGGTTGGCGGTAGGCGGTGGGCGGTGGGCGGTGGGTGGTAGGCAGAACGGTAGGCGGTAGGCGGTGGGCGGTGGAAGGTGGGCGGTGAGCGGTGGGCGGTGGGCGATTGGCGGTGGGCGGTGGGCGGTGGGGGGTGGGCGGTGGGCGGTGGGCGGTTGGCGGGAGGCGGTGGACGGTGGGCGGTGGGCGGTGGGCGGTGGGAAGTTGGCGGTAGGCGGTAGGCGGTGGGTCGGGGCCGTGGGCGGTAGGCAGAACGGTAGGCGGTAGGTGGTGGGCGGTGGAAGGTGGGCGGTGAGCGGTGGGCGGTGGGTGGTGGGCGGTGGGCGGTTGGCGGTGGGCGGTGGGCGGTTGGTGGTGGGCGGTGGGCGGTGGGCGGTGGGCGGTGGGCGGTAGGCCGAGCGGCCGTGGGCGGTGGGCGGTGGGGGGTGGGCGGTGGGCGGTGGGCGGTGTGCGGTGCGGAGGGCGGTGGGCGGTGGGCGGTGGGCGGTAGGCAGAGCGGTAGGTGGTAGGCGGTGGGCGGTGAGCAGTGGGCGGTAGGTAGAACGGTAGGCGGTAGGCGGTGGGTGGTGGAAGGTGGGCGGTGAGCGGTGGGCGGTGGGCGGTGGGTGGTTGGCGGTGGGCGGTGGGCGGTGGGCGGTGGGCGGTGGGCGGTGGGCGGTGGGGGGTGGGCGGTGGGCGGTGGGCGGAGCGGAAGGCGGTGGGCGGTGGGGGGTGGGTGGTGGGCGGTGGGCGGTGGGTGGTGGGCGGTAGGCCGAGCAGGAGGCGGTGGGCGGTGGGCGGTGGGTGGTGGGCGGTGGGCGGTGGGCGGCGGGCTTTGGGCGGTGGGCGGTAGGCCGAGCAGGAGGCGGTGGGCGGTGGGCGGTGGGTGGTGGGCGGTGGGCGGGTGGCGGCGGGTGGTGGGCGGTGGGCGGTGGGGGTGGGGGGTAGGCGGTGGGCGGTGGGCGGTGGGCGGTGGGCGGTGGGCGGTGGGCGGTGGGCGGTGGGCGGTGGGCGGTGGGCGGTGGGCGGTGCGTGGGGCGGTGGGCGGTTGGCGGGAGGCGGTGGGCGGTGGACAGTGGGCGGTGGGCGGTGGGCGGTGGGCGTTGGGCGGTAGGTAGAGCGGTAGGCGGTAGGCGGTGGGCGGTGAGCGGTGGGCGGTAGGCAGAATGGTAGGCGGTAGGCGGTGGGTGGTGGGCGGTGGGCGGTGGGCGGTGGGCGGTGGGGGGTGGGCGGTGGGCGGTGGGTGGTTGACGAGATGCATGGCATGTTGTCACTGACTTCTCATGCATGCATGTTCTTACCAACGTTTTGCTACTTCTTATGCTGCCTATGGGTGCATGGCTATGTGTGCGTGCGTGTGTGCGTGCGTGCGTGCGTGCGTGCGTGCGTGGTGGCAGCAAGGCGGAGATCATCAAGATGATGGAGCGCCGAGCCTCTGACTTCCGCCTGGATCCGGGCCTGCGCAAGTACTGCCACCGCGACATTGTGGAGGTGTGCACCGCGACTTTGTGGAGGTATGCACCGCGCCATTGTGGAGGTATGCACCGCTGCCTTGTGTAGGTATGCACCGCTGCACTGTGGAGGTATGCACCGCTGCACTGTGGAGGTATGCACCGCTGCACTGTGGAGGTATGCATAGCTGGGGCAGAGGTGTCACAGTGACTTCCATATATTTCTTGCAGCAGCCCTCTCAAGCATTCCCGTCACCCTCTCCTTTGCACAACCTTGGCATTCTTCCACTTTCGCCCACCTCTCTTTCCACTTTCGCCCACCTCTCTTTCCATCTCATGCTCTGCTCCCCGTGCCCACCCTCACACCCCCTCCTTCCCCTCCCCCCCAGACGTGCTACCCGGACGCGGACGACATCAGTGACGTGGCGTCGTGGGACAGCCGTGTGATCGAGTGTCTGCAGGACTACCGCCGCGAGCTCAAGGACCCGCGGTGCCGCCAGCAGGTGCACCTGCTCACTCAGAGGGCCGCGGAGGACACGCGCTTTGACCACCCGCTGCAGCAGGCGTGCCATGGTGAGAGCCCTCTCCACGCATCCATCCCACCCACTCCCCTCTTTCCTCCTTTTCGCTAACCATCATGCTCCCCCCTTGCATACCCCCCCCCCCACCCCCCCCTCCCTCCCCCCGACTTCCCCCCCCCTTTTGCATGCATGTACGGCCTGGCAGAGGACCGCGAGACGCTGTGTGCATCGGTGGCGGACGGGCATGCGCGCGTGTTCATGTGCCTGCAGGAGAACCGCCAGAAGCTCAAACCTGTCTGCCGCACCGCACTTTTTGAGCAGGTCAGCCCTCTGCACCGCACTCTTTGAGCAGGTCAGCCCTCTGCACTGCACTCTTTGAGCAGGTCAGCCCTCTGCACCGCACTCTTTGAGCAGGTCAGCCCTCTGCACCGCACTCTTTGAGCAGGTCAGCCCTTTGCACCGCACTCTTTGAGCAGGTCAGCCCTCAGCATTTTTAGATTCTGTTAAATTTATTATTCGAATCTTTGAGCTGGTCAGCTGTTGTTGTGTGTTCGTTTAGGCAACGATCATTGTGGAAGTATGCCCCGTGAAATGCTTTTATGGTCAGTTGTGATCTGTCCACCCTGGTTCCCCGAAGAAGTTTCGTCTGGATTGGGGCATGTGGACTCACTCACTCACACGTCCCCTGACCCGTGGGCCGTGGCAGGAGATCCGGTACGCGGAGGACATTGACTTCAAGTTCCCCATGCGGGAAGCGTGCCAGGACGAGATGCAGCGCCTCTGCAAGGACGAAAAGGGTAGGGTGGATGAGACAGTTAGGGGGGACAAAAAGGGTGCTCTGGGAAAGGGAGTGTGTGTGTGAGAGGTGGACGGCGAGGAGGCCAGAGGTAGGACTAGATGAATTGGGAGAGCACACTGCTGGTGTGTGCCGCATGGTCGTTTGCTGTTGCTGCATAGCCACGCCTGCTCACCTCCCTCGTTTCTCCCCCTTGTCCTGGCATGTGGTGCTGGTGGTGGTGGCAGGCGGTGGTGACACAATAGCGTGCCTGCAGCAGCACGTGGGGGATGAGGACATGGGCGAGAGGTGCAAAGAGGAGGTCAAGAAGGATGAAGAGAGGAGTGCTCAAGGTCAGGCACCCATGCCATGCACATGGCACACGTGCCATGCTTGTGTATGGCATATGTACTAAGTGTGGCATGCAAGCTTTCTCCTGCCCTCCCTTCACGGCACAACCCCGTTCCAAAAGGCCCTGTCGCCTCCCATCTGCCCTCTGCCCGCCAGACTTCCGGCTGAACTACAAGCTCAACCGCGCATGCTTCAGCGACGTGCAGCATCTCTGCATGCACTCCTGCGAGCCCAAAAACGACTCCTTCGTCTCCGGCCCCACGGGCGACCTGTGCGGGGGGCGTGTGCTGCAGTGCCTGGCGGGCAACGCGTCGAGCATTGCGAGCGCGGAGTGCCGTGAGGAGGTGCTGTACTTCCAGCAGCGCGAGGTGGGCGACGTGCTGCTGGACGTGCCGCTGCAGCGCGCGTGTGAGGCGGACATCGGCGCGCTGTGTGGGCTGCAGCGCGACCACAGCAAGGTGCTGTCGTGCCTGCGCCAGCACCGGGAGCAGCTCAAGCCTGAGTGCCGCGAGGAGGAGCTGCGGTTCAGCGCCATGGAGGTGGGCCGTGCAGGGGGGTCATGCGCGGGCTGCCATGGGACGAAAGCCTGCTTGGGTGCCATGCTGAGATGCGCTGCGAAGCTGTCGAACCTCCCCCCCCCCTCTCCCACCCCTCTCGCCTCTGCATCTCCCTCTCTCTCCCTCCAGGCATCTGACATCCGCCTGACCCCCTCCCTCATGAACGCGTGTGGGCTCGAGCTGCACGTGTTCTGCCGCGGCGTGCCGCCCAGTGAGGGCAAGGCGTTCCGGTGCCTGCAGACGAACCTGGCGAGGGAGGGCATGGGCGTGGCGTGCCGCTCCGAGGTGGAGCTGGCCACGGTGCGCGAGTCGCAGTTCTACGAGGGCGACGTGGCGCTGGCGCTGCAGTGCCACACGGACATCGCCACCTCCTGCAGCGACGCGGCAAACAGCGAGGCGGACGGCGACGGGGAGGTGATCGCATGCCTGGCGCAGCACTATGACGGGCTCACTGGGAAGTGCCAGACCGAGGTGAGAGGCTGGCAGAGTTTAGGGTTTAGGGTGGATTGGGAGACAACCTGTTGTGCTGCTGAGCTTGAGCCATCCATGCCTGGGCTGCACCCATCTGACTTGCATTGCTTCCATGCAACTCTCCCCCTCTCCCTGCTCCCCTTTCAACCCCCTCCCTCCCCCCCCCCCCCCTGCTTGTGTGCGTGGTAGGTGTCATTCCTAGTGCGCATGGCGCTGTGGGTGTACCAGCCTGCCAACCCCCTCACGCTGCCCTGTGCTGATGACATCACGGCCCTCTGCCCCAACGCCACCTCCTCCTCCACCTCCTCTTTGGCGGCCAAGGGCATCGTGCTGGCGGCGGTGGGGCAGTGCCTGGTGGACCAGCCCCTTGCCAAGCTGGGCAACGGCTCGTGCCGGCAGCTGGTGGCTGTGGTGGGCGTGGCGGGCGCGCATGTGGGCGGGGTGGTGGATGAGGCGCGGCTCGAATCCACGCTCGCACAGATCGCAGAGGTGAGGGCGCTGCTGCATAGGAGCTGGCACTAATGGCGTGGATTCACTGCCTGCATGCCCCTTGTCTCCCTGCCTGCATCCAACTTGTCTCGTATACTTCCCCTCCCATCTAGTCCTCTTCTCCCCGTCTTATCCCTTGTGACACGCCTCGTGCACACCCCTCGTGCACACCCCTCGTGCACACCCCTCGCACGCGTGCAGCTGGGGGCAATGGAGCAGCAGCAACGGGAGGAGGAGGGCATGGAGCTGACGGGGTGGGTGGCGCTGCTGGCAATGTTCGCTCTTGCGGTGCTGCTGATAGGTGCGGGTGTGTACGCGTACCACCGCTTCTTCAGCCCCACGCGGGACTACACGCTCGTTGTGAGGGAGGGGGACGTCAAGGAGGGGGACGTGTGAGGGGGGCTCCGGTGCCGTGGGTGCGGCTTGCTGAAGAGGTGCTGCGGCTTGAGACATGGTGCTGCTGGTTGCAGGTACCGGCTGTGGTGCGCTCTACAAGCTCCCTACGAAAGCCGGGTGTAGACATGTGGAAGCTACCATAGTACATAGGGTGTTGCCTGATTGCAACTCCTGGGGAAGTTTAAGCCGGTGCATGCTTACGGGAAGAATTTTACGTGCATTGAAACTTCCACCTGCAAAGATGGTGCTATTGCCATAATCTTGCTGTCCATATTGTTACAACACAGAATTAGCTACGGTATATGGTTGGTGGTGCCAGCAGTCAATAAAACACCTGAAGTGTTATTATCAAAACAGTAAACACAATCAAGTATCAACAGGCAGTAGACAAGCAAGATGCCACTCCCTGATAATGCTATCTCCAGTGGAAAGCTGTATAATTTCAGTCACCCGAAGCAGCGTGGCAAACAGAGCTAGAGCATTGACAAAAGCAGGCCAGGGGGACATGTCAAGGCGCTCAATAGCATGGCATGGGAGGAGTATGGGTCGGTGGCTGGGTGTGCCTGATGGACACGCGGATGGGTGGATGGCAAGGGCGGTGCGATCGTCGAGGTGAGCAGGGTGCAGCAGCACGGGGCGCCTGTGTGCTGGGCGCCACATCACTCGTCGTAGGTGCGGCACTCGTCGGTCTCGGGGTTTTCTTCGCAGTACTCGATGAGAGGGTCCTCGTAGTCCGCCGGCCCGTACACCACCGCCGTGCGCGACGGCGCATACACCTGGAACGAGTGCGGCCGGCCGTCGTGCCACCCCTCCTGCACAGCCAGTCACACGCAAGACAGATGGGTGAAAGAGGTGAGGTGGAGTGGCCCAATGATGAGCGGGAGGAGGGACGATGGCCACAGGGTGGGTGATGGGGACGAGGATGCGAGGGGAGGTGCAGGAAAGATAGGCGGCAAGAGTGGGCATGGGAGAGCAGTGGGAGCACTGACCTGTGAGAAGTAGGAGGCGTTGTGGTCGATGCGGTTGTAGCCGCCAAAGCGGCCCTCGTCTGAGTCCAGCACCACCTGGGGGCGGGCGATGGGGGCACAGGGTGGAGGAAAGCAGGCAGCGAGTGAGGCAGACAGATGAGGTGATGGGGTGATGGGTTGTGAAGCAAGGCAGCGAGGCACTTGGAAGAGGAAAGCAAGGACGGCCTCTTGCTGGTGACAGGGTGTGGATGGCTCGCACAAGCCGTGTGTGCGGCACAGACCTTGTATTTGCCGGGCCTGTTGCAGCCGATGCGGTAGTCGGTGTAGGAATTCTGCCAGTGCAGGTTGAAGACAAACACCAGGTCGCCGCGCTCAAACACAATCAGCTTGTCGCCCTCGTCCTTGCGCGACACATACTGGTGCTCCGACGAGATGAACTGCCGGGGGGGAAAGGGGGGGGAAGTGAGAGGGGTTGGGAGGAAAGCAGGGTGAGCGGGAAGGAGGCACAGGCGGAGGGGACGAGATGGTGCAAAAGATGGAAGGAGCCCTTGTTACTACCTCGCACATTCCCCACCTCTCTGCTTCCCCCCACCATGCCCTCACCATGCCCTCACCCATTTTGTGATTCTGCTCACACGGCTCTACCCGCCTTGCCCTCACCCCCACCTTGTAGGTCTCCTCGAGGTGCTGCATGGCCTGGTCGAAGTCGTTGAGCCCCTTGTACCGCAGGAACGCGGCGTCCGCCAGGTCAAAGCGGCGCCGGCAGAGGTGGTAGCTGCCGCCGTTGCCCGGGATGAACTTGCCCGCCGGGGTCGTGAAGTCCCAGCGCGGGAAGTCAATCCACTCTGCACCACATGCCATGCCACGCCATGCCATGCCATGCCATGTCAGTTCGCATTGCCATGCCACGACCCCATATGCATGCACACGTGCGTTCCAGAAGACAGGAGCAGAACCAGTGAGGGACATAACACCAATACGAAAGAAACTCTTTGATCGGTTCATTGTGTTTGACATGCAGACCTGTGCATTCCCAGCTTACTCTGACTTAGTCTGACCTCCATCATTCAACAGAACTCCTTGTTGCCACCCAATCTTCATACAGAAAGCACCCCTTTCACCATCCCGCCCTACCCCACGCTTCTCACCGGGGTGGCCGAACTCGTTGCCCATGAAGTTGAGGTAGCCCTCGCCGCCCAGCGCCATGGTGAGCAGGCGGATCATCTTGTGCAGCGCGATGCCGCGGTCCACGCGGGGCGTGGAGGGGCCGTCGAGCGCCATGAAGTCGTACATGTCCTTGTCCATCAGCCAGAACGCGATCGTCTTGTCCCCCACCAGCGCCTGGTCGTGGCTCTCCGCGTACGCAATGGACTTCTCCATCCACCGCCGGTTGGTGAGCGTGTGCACAATGTCGCCCATCTGCCACTGCTCGTCCGTCTGCCTGTGGGGGGCACAGCAGCAATGAGGGACGGCAGGCGCCAAGGGACGAGGCAGAGTGAGATGCCCATGGGCGATGGTCCGCGCGGGATTATCGCATGGGTGGCGGTGCGGAGAGAAGGTGAGGGAAAGAAAGAGGCTCACTCCGACAGCAGCTCGATCCACTTGTCGGCGATGGCCATCTGCAGGCGGTAGTCGTAGCCGACGCCACCCCACGCCACGGGCTGGCAGAGCGTGGGCATGCCGCTGACGTCCTCGGCGATGGTGACGGCGTCGGGGTAGAGCCCGTGCACCATGTCGTTGGCCGTCATCATGTACGCCATCGCCTCCACGTCCGTTGCGAACCCAAAGTACTCCTCGTAGTTCCCCGTGAACGCCATCTGGGGGGAGGAAGGGGGGGGTTGGGGTGGGGGGAGGGCAGAGGAGTGGGTGCCAGACAACATGGCGAAATGACGTGCATGGGGCATGGGGCATGGGGCATGGGGCATGGGGCATGATGCATGCATGGTGCACGTTGCACATACCTGCAGGCCGTGGTGCGTGTACATCATGGATGTGACGCCATCGAAGCGGAAGCCGTCGAACTTGTACTCCTCGAGCCACCAGCGCAGGTTGGAGAGCAGGAAGCGCAGCACCTCCCAGTGCCCGTAGTTGAACAGCCGCGAGTCCCACATCCAGTGGTACCCGCGCTCGCCCGAGTGAAAGTACTGCCCGTCCGTGCCGTCAAACATGTTCAGCCCGTCCAGCACGTTGTTCGACGCGTGGCTGCCGGGACACGGGGGAGGGGTGGCGGTGGGTGGCGGAAGAGGGGAGGGGGAGAGGTGAGAGGGAGGGGGAGGAAGGGGGATTGGGGGGCAGAAATGGCGGGAGAGTGCAGCATTGGTACGGCATGGCAGGGCGCAGTGGCCGGCTGAGGCATGGTGGAGCGCGTGCGAGCACGCATTCCTGTTCTCGCAAACCACCATGCCGCGTCCCGCCACGCCATCGTCAGCTTACCTACCCATGCACAGAGTGCGTGCCCCCATGCCCCCCATGCCCCTCATGCCCCCCATGCGCCCCATGCCCCCCCCATGGCACCTGTGCACGCAGTCCATGAGCACCACGATGCCCATGCCGTGCGCCGCGTCGATGAGGCTCTTGAGGTCGTCGGGCGTGCCGCAGCGGCTGCTCACGGCGAAGAAGTTGGTCACGTGGTACCTGGCGGAACGCGGGGGCGGGGGGTCAGGCGAGCAGGCGAGAACGGGAGAGCGCAGGTGAGGGACGCCGGGAGGGAAAGCGGGGGCACGAAGCGGGAATGGCAGGTGCTGGAGGCAACGGCCCGAGAGGCAGTGGTGGCAGGGGGAGGAGTCATGACTGGAAGGAAGACAATGCAACAAGGCACCAAGGCGCGCAACACGCGGGTAACGCGTGCAAAACAGAACGATTAGGGCCGTGGAGGAGTGCAAGGGAGGCCGAGCAAAGGGAGGGGCGCACAGGTGCGTGAGGGACGGGGAGGGCGTACCCGAAGGAGCCGTAGTAGGCGTGCTCCTGGATGGCCATGAGCTGGATGGCGTTGTACCCCAGGTCGCGCACGCGCGGCAGCACGTTGTCGCGGAACTCCGCGTACGTGCTCACTCGCGGCTCCTGTTAGCGGGTGGCGCAATAACGCGGATGAGGACGATGTGGAAAGTGGCGAGACGGAGAGCAGCCATGAGAACCGACGAGACGAAGCTAGGCAAGACAGCTGGCGCGCAGTGGGGGAGAGGCGGAGAGGGGGGAAGAGGCAAGGGCAGCTGGGGAAGAGAAAGCGGGACAGGAGGCGCGGAGGAGGGGCGGCGGGGGGTGGGGCGGGGGCGTACAGTGCTGCTCATGCCGACGTGCGCCTCGTAGATGCGCAGAGCTCGGGGCCGCTTGGGGCGCGCGTTCTTCCACACATGGCGCTCCTGCAGGCGCGCGCACGGGGTGGGGAGGCAGATGAGCGGCGGAGAAGCACGTGGGAAAGAGCCCCATTCCAGCCGTGAGCATCATTGCAGCCGTGAGCATCATTCCAGACGAGGGCAACGGACCAGACGAGGGCAACGGAGGTAAATGCAGGCGAAAAAGAAAGGCAGTCGCAGAGAGGAGCGGACCTCCGGCGGCGGGTCGTAGTAGATGCCGTTGTAGGGGATCTCGCCTGGCGCCTGCACGGCGAACTTAATCCACGCGGGAATGGCGTCCTTCCACCCCGACGGCGTGTCCATGTGGATCTGCATGCCACGTCATCAGAACAATAACCACGTGTTATGACAAGAGAACGACAACATCCACGGGAAACCTAGTACCGACATGCAATAGTGAGCGAAGTAATAAGGCTACTTCCACCTGCCCACCGCATCTGCAATGTCATGCCGAACGGAAACAAAATTCCCTACACAAAGGCTCCAATCCTAAATCTTCGTTGTTTCCCCCATCTGCCAAGCATTTGTGACTTCATGTCCACATTCCGCTGTCAAATCGTTCACGCGTGTCGCGCTGCAAGCCGCATGTGATCCACTCGCAGCCTCTCATACAGTCACATGCATCTGCCACAATGCCTGGCGTTCCTCGCTGAGGCACGGACTGACCTTGACGCGCGAGCCGTGGGGAATGGCGGGGGTGCCATCGGGATTGTCGGGCAGGAAGAGCTCCCACACGCCGAACTCGTCCTGCGGCACACGCGCACGCACGCACAGACAGGCAAGCAACACGGACAGTCAGAATCCGTGACTGATTTCTGTGAAGAGCGCGAGGAATAATGGCGTGAGCAGAGGGAGCGCGGCGGGCGAACCTTCTTCATGATGTCGGCGTTGGGGTTCCAGTTGTTGAAGTCGCCGATCAGCGACGCCGACTGCACCCACCTCACACGCACACACACACGGCGGTCAGCGAAAATCCAGACACTAAATGCCGGCAAACAAGAAGCGGGAAGCTCGCATTTCACTTACATAAGCGCCAGGAGCCCACTCGCGGTACACGATGCCGTTGTGCCTGCACAGAGTCAACGAGAAACGCTCCCAATGTCGCTTTAGACGTGAAACATTGGCAAGGCGAAGACCGGAAGCAGTCGGGTGAGGAAGGGAGACGGCAAGGAGACGCGCGAGGGCGGGCGGCTTACACGCGGTTGAAGCCGAACTTCTCGTAGCCGCGCGAGAACTTCTCGAGCCCGCCCTCGTGCTGGTCGATCTCCCACCGCAGCTTCTTGTACTGCCCGAAGCTGCACGCGCCCAACACGGCGAATCAAAGACAAGCTCACGCAACGAGTCAGACTGACACTGCTCAATATTAACAACTGAAATCTACTCAATATGAAATTGGATTAAAGACGCTGTGATTCAGGACCGTGGCTTACCGCTGCTGATTAACTTGTTTGCGCCGCGTATCGGGTACTAGTCGAGGCAACGGGGGTGTTTCCGGGTACTAATCGACGTAAATGCGGTGCATACCGGTATTAGTCGGAGCAATGACTGTGCTTATCGGCATTAATCGGGCTGGATGTGGCTGTGAAACGTGTAAAACGCGGGGGATGCGGTGCTTCTTATCGGTAAGGATCGAAGTACCTGCGGTACTTACCGGTACTCGAGGTGGATGCGGTGCGCGTTGAGGTACTCGTCGGTGTCGAAGATCCTCTTGCCCTCGCCCGGTGGCGGCACCACCTTGGGCCCCTCCTGCGTGAAGATCATCTGCTCGCGCAGCTTCGCGTTCTCCTCGCGCAGAGCCTGCGCCGCCCAAACAGGTAAGACCCAGAATGGTCAGCAAGCCCGCACAATCTAACACCAAGATCCTGGCGTTCGGAATTTGACATGAAGCACTGGTGTCGGAAAGTGCCAGTTTGACGATTAAGGACCAATATGCGGACCTTAATTTGCGCCTCGATGACTTCCGCCTCCGCTTCCAAGTCCCCCACTGCCAGCTCCGCGCCCCCGTCATTCGCTGCCTCAGCGGCCACGCGGAGCCGGCGGCTGCTGTCGTCCGTCCACGTCAGCTTCGCCTGACGATGTCGCAAGGCCCTCTGCCTGAGCTGCAATCGCGCGGGAATCTGACAGATTCTGGCATTGCCTGCCAGGGGAAACGAGAGATTTGCGTGAGATTTAGAAATTCGAAAAGACGGCTTTTGGAAATTTGCAACGCCTGCTTGCGTGAAAAAAATGCATGCCTTCCCGAAGGAAACGCACCTCCAAGGAAAGGGCTACGGGTTATTTTATGGCTTGATGTAAGCCGACACGCCGGCGGCGTGGAGACGGTGGCAGTCGCCATAGCTGCACGGAGCTAACGTGCCGCTAGGAATTCAGAATGGATCTCACTCGCTGCTTGCTACCTAGAGTACATTCCCCACCCCAACCAACCTTCCTCCAAGCCCAGCCGACTGGGAGTGTAGCGGATGCGGAGGTGAGGGAGGAAGTGGGGGGGGGGGAGGGGGGCTATTGACTATGCGCTGAGTGTAGTTTGAGCCCGAACCACACTGCACCACTCAATTTAAAAAACAAAAATACGCCACACCATTTTCAACCTCTCTGAAAGTTAGATCCTAGCTCATTGTTCGAACCCCATGATTGAAAGTGCTGCGCTTTAGATTCACACGAAGGGTTCCCTTCCCGGCCTCCCGCACACCTCAACCATGTGGCTCCAACGACCCCAAGACCACCTTATGCTTGCCACGTCCGCATTAGGCTAAGCATAAAGCGACCTCCCGTTTCAATCTTGAAGGGGTTCAGTGACGTGGCATGGAGCCAGAAGTGCCGTGCCGTGCCAGCCGTGCTGTGACCAGCTTCAGTTCAGGGGTTACGTTGTTGAAACTTGAAACGCGCCCATTCCGGCAAAGATCCATCCTCTGAGGGTGGAACAAGCACCACTCGTCCGCACCGCAGATCCCTCACCCTGTTTCCTCTGCTCCAGCTGCCCGCGATGGAGAATGGGTCATTCTCCGTGCGAAGGTCTGTGGTTCAGGTTCAATACAGTCCAAGACAAGACCCTCTCGACCAATGCAGCAGTGACATCAGGGCAGGCGCGACTTCAACTCGTTAGAGATCACTTCGATAAAAAATATTTTTCAGACATACATGACGAGTGACATACCTACTATGTTCTGCGTTTTAAAAGAGCAATATCTTAGATAGCAGGTCTTGATTGTGCTGTGGGCCTTTGATAAGCAACCTGCTGCAGTTACGCACTGTGCTTCGGGCTGGCAAGCCTAACCAATCACCATAAGGACCGAACAACCTTCACCTACCCAGCATGTGACTGTTCATTTCGCCGTTTCACGTAACCTCCACCCCCTTGTGTTACGGGCGGCGCCGCTCCCTGCGGTTTGGCCGCATCTCCGTGCGCAGAGCAGAGCCAAATCGACGGACGGATCAAGCCGATTGTCCACCCCCACCCACCTCTCAGGCAGGCAGGCAGGCAATTGATCACATAGAAACTGCCGAGGAACACTTCACCCAACCCAGCATTACAATCAAGCTGCTTGCTTTCGCGTCGACTGCCTTCACTTACTCCATTTTAGGGTTTCCTTGCCAAGTCCTTAGCCCAGCTGAAGTCCTTAGTTATATTAGGAATGCTTGTCAAAGGCCGTTGACCGTGCCCAACTGGGAGTTGCGTCTCAGTTGCTTTGTCTTAGCACGAGCTGACTTTTAGTCGTAGCTCAGATACCTTGACATATTCATAATTGCGGATAACTGTAACCCCCATGGCTATTTCACCATTGGAAATGATTGTACAAAGCCGCCTATTTATAATAAGTGGGTAGAGTAGGGGTTCTTCTCTAAGAGTTGATACGTTGGGGAGCTATGGACCGGTCGGCGTTGGATCGTCCCATGATCGATCGTCGAATGATGCTGCTCAGCCGCAGCCGCCGCGAGCAGGAAGGCGATTCCGATTCCGAAGAAGCATATTCGATAGGCAGAGATGACGTGGATCGCTCCGATTCGCTCAGCCGGGCCTTCGCGCAGGTGATACACCAGAAGGCGGCTGGCGTGTCACTTGCCGACATGTTTCATCTGCTTCGTGACCCTCTCTTTCCGGATGTAGAAACGTGTGGCTGGATGAAGTTTCGAATCATTCACGGCGTTCTGCGCCTCGCATCCCAACGAGAAAACTCCTTAATTGTGTTTGTTTCTGCGTGTGTCCGTGTGTGCCGTTCATGCTTTGACGGCCCTTGCGGTGCTGCCAGCAAACGAGCGTACGCGACTACCGGGGGGGAGGGGGGGACTCGCGGCAAGTGCGGCAAGAGGAGGAGGAGGAGGAGGACGAGGAGGAGTACACGGTGGAGGTGTGGGACGCGCTGGACTCGCTGGAACAGGTAACCGGGTGGGTCAACGGAGAAGCGTAGGGACTCGAATGTGGGAGTGGAGGTGCGTTGTGTGCTTCGCTGCAGCGGCGCCATCACCTCATGCCGCTGCCCTCAGTGCGTCACCTCGTGCTCCCGCCCTTCACTCTCCCCCTCCTTTCCCGTCTCACCAGCACTTTCCATCCCCTTCTCCACCCTCCCCAACCCCTCCCTTCCTTTCCTACCCTCGTCTCTCCCCCTCCCCAACCCCTCCCTTTCCTACCCTCGTCTCCCCCCCCCCCCCTCTCCCCCTCCCGCGCGCACCAGTTAAAGCCCATCATCGCGTCGGGCCCGCGGTGGAAGCTGGAGGAGTTTCTAAGAGCCATCGACATCCTCCAGGTACGCGCGCATGCCGCCACGCACATGCTACAAACATGCTTGCACGCGCGCAGGTACGCTCACATGCATATATGCTACATGCATGCTCGATGCAAGCGTTTGTGCGGGTTGACGCCACGAGCCGTTCTATCCACCCACCCACCGCTCCCTGCTACCCTCCCCTCCCCCCGCCCCCCTCTTCTCCCCGCGTTGACGGCGCGCAGGAGATGGCGGAGTTCTTTGAGCGCAACGAGTGCGCGTCGGGCGTGCGCGAGTGCGACAAGTTCATGGCCGTCGCCATGGACCACCTCCTCGACGAGTTCCGCGACGCGCTCGCCAAGATCAGGTCCGCGCACGCACGCACGCACGCACGCTCGCATGCCGCACCTGGGCGAACGGGATTGTGATGCGAGGATAAGGTTGCCATGGTTTATCAGGATCGTCATGGACCGCATGAAGGGCGGCCATGCATGAACGACTCTGCACATCGTGAGGGCGCAGCACGTAAAGGAAACCAACACATTGTCTGGCAACGTGGGTTTAGGATGCGCCCACTTTTTAGCAAGTGCGGAATGCAACCATGCTCCTCAACTATGCTTGGACCCTCCGTACAATGCCCACCTCACCTCCCCCTCACACCCACCCTCCTCACCTCTTCCCTCCCACCGACCCTGAAACTCCCCTCCCCCCTCCTACCACGTCCTCCTCCCCTCCCCCCCAACCCCCCCCCTTTGCCTGTGCGTGCGGTGGCAGCAAGCCGCTGCCGGCGGCGATGCTGCGCGAGGTGGCCATGTCCACGCAGGCCGGCCGCCTCGTCGACCAGCACCAGGGCGGCGCCGCTGCCGCCGCCGCCGCCGTGCTGGCGGGCGCCGCTGGCGGCGGCGTGCCGCGCACGTCCACGGGGTCGTCGTCCGCGTCGTCGCACCTGCCGTCGTCGCGCTCGCGCACCGGCAACCCCGCGTCCTCGTCGCCCGACTCCTCGGGCTCCTCCTCCCCCACGGCGGGCGGGTCCGCCGCGCCGCACGCGGTGTCGGCGGCGACGCACCAGGCGCTGCAGGACTGGCTGTCGGCGAGCGCCGTGCCGTTCCTCCACCGCATGGCCGTCAAGCTCGCGCAGGGGGGCGAGTCGCAGCGCTGCATGCAGCAATACGTGTGAGTGGCGTGGCACGTGCAGCAATACGTGTGAGTGGCGTGGCGCGTGTAGCAATACGTGCGAGTGCCGCGTGCACTGACGAACATAATTCCTGTTGCAAGACTCGTGTTCCTATCAGCCCCCCTCCTTTCCTCTTCCCCCCTGCTCCTAACACTCCCCTCTTCCACCACATCTCCCCCTCTCCTCCCTGCCCTTCCCCCCCAGCAAGGTGCGCGCGGAGGCCATTCAGCGGAGTGTGGACGCGCTGGATATCAAGAGAGTGCTGACGTCGTCACTGGAAGAGATGACGTGGCAGCAGCTAGAGGCGCTCATGAAGGGATGGGTCACGGACATGCGAGCCATGGTGAGTGTGTGAGAGGGGGGAGGGGAGGAGGATGATATGTGAGTCTTGGTGCACTGCCATGTGCCATGTGCCATGTGCGCTGCATGGTATCGGAGCTGTGACCTACGTCTCACTCTCCCCCTCTCCGCACTGCCGTGCCCACCACGTGTCCCCTGCGGCGTGCAGGTGCTGGTGCTGCTGGGCAGTGAGCGCGTGCTGTGTGACGAGATCTTCGACTCACTGGAGCCCGACAGAGAGCTCTGCTACCTCTCGCTCATTCAGGTAAATGCTGCCGCCTCTGCCATCTCTTCTCACCATTTACAAACTTCCCTACCTACCCTTACCAACCCCCTCCCACGTTCGCTCCCTGCCACCTTCTTCCCTCCCGGCCCACCTACTCTTCCTGCTCCCCCCCGGCAGGCGAGCGGGCTAGCAGCAACGGTGGAGGGCGGTGGTGAGCAACGGGCGTGTGGTGGCGTCGGGGCGCAACACGCCGGAGCGCCTCTTTGCGCTGCTCGATATGTTCACCACGGGGCGGGAGCTCCGGGCGCAGGTGGGATGAGGGAAGGGTGCAGGTGGGATGAGAGAAGGGCGCAGGTGGGATGAGGGAAGGGTGCAGGTGGGATGAGAGAAGGGCGCAGGTGGGATGAGAGAAGGGCGCAGGTGAGAGGGAAGGGCGCAGGTGAGAGGGAAGGGCGCAGGTGGGATGAGAGAAGGGCGCAGGTGAGAGGGAAGGGCGCAGGTGAGAGGGAAGGGCGCAGGTGGGATGAGAGAAGGGCGCAGGTGAGAGGGAAGGGCGCAGGTGGGATGAGAGAAGGGCGCAGGTGGGATGAGAGAAGGGTGCAGGTGGAATGAGAGGAGCGCGCAGGTGGGATGAGTGCTGAGGCAGCTGGTGCATGCCTGTTCCCCCCGTGTCGCACGTCACTGCCCCCGAAGCCTCAAGCCTTCCAAGCCTCTCCCTCTCGTCCCTGCACTCCTGCTCCCCGCCCATCTCCCCCCCTGTGTGTGGGCTTAGATCGAGGCGGTGGTGTCGGTGCCGGGGTTTGGCAGCGTGCTGCGTGAGATGGAGCGGCTGCCCGCGCGACCTGGCGGGCGCCGTGATGGACACCCATTGGCGAGTTCAAACGCGTGCTGGAGGAGCCGCCTGCACACCACCAGGCGCAGAGCCAGGACAAAAAGAAAGGGTGAGGGGGAGGGATGGCCAGGCATGCGCTATGTGTTTGTGACAGCATGCGTGTTGCCAGGATGTGTTGTGGCAGCGCGCGACATCACCTCATGCACCTGTCCTGTCGGTGCATGTCATTGCCATTTGTCTCATCCCATACCTCAAATCCAAAATCCTGCTGCTCCCCCCTCCTTCTCCTCCCCCCTTCCCCTCCCCCCCCTTCCACTGGCAGGATGCTGAAGCCGTTTCTGCGCAGTGCGAGTGCGAGCGGCGCGGGCGAGGGGGGCCGGTGGAGGAGATGGAGGTGGCTACGGCGGCCACGCACCCTCTCACGTCCTACGTCGTCAACTACATGAACAACCTGCTCGATAAGTACGCTGGGGGCGAGGGTTGTTTAGATCGCACTGTGCTGTGAGTTGGGCGTGAAACCAATGACGCTTGGGGAGGATCTAGTGATCAGCCCATGCTTATGCAAGGATACATGCACTCAAATTGGTTGTTGTGGCGTTGCTGCATGCTTCCTTGCCCCGGTGCAGGCAGAGCAAGCGCAACTACCCGGTGACGCTGGAGTATCTGCTGCTGGAGTACGGCCGCAGCATCACGGCCACCGGCACCGACGCCACGGCAGCGGCGCTCATCACACGCAGCGGCCCGCAGTACAAGACGCCCTTCAGTGGGGCCGCCGTGGAGCGCCGGTCGGGCGCCGTGGGGCCGGCAGCGCTGGGGCAGCGCGCGGCCACACTGGCAGGCGTGGTGTCGTCGGTGCTGGAGTCGCTGCTGCGCTGCCTGGAGGCGCGGTCCCGGGCCGCCTCTGACCCCACGCAGGGCGCACTCTTCCTCCTCAACAACGCCCTCTACATCTCCAAGAACCTGTGAGCCTCGCACATAAAAAAACCCATGAGCCACGCACATGCAAAAATCTGTGAGCGCCTCGCCCTGCACTGCTGTCAGCGCTCGAACCGTGCCTTGCAGCGTACCACCCTAGCAGGGGCATCTCGTGCTTGTCCTAATGGGCCTGCATTCATTCTTCCACGTGCTGCTGTCTGCATGCTCGTCAACGCCCACTCATCTACCCGTGTGTCCGTGCGTGCATGTGGTGGCGGTGGCAGGTCGGACGGCAAGCTGTCAGCGGTGGCGGACCTACCGGATTGGAAGGACGGGCAGATGCTGGACAAATACATGATCCACTTCCGCGACGCCCGTGCTCGCTAGGGTACCGCCACGCCACTCATGCCTGACCTGCCGTGCCCATGCCATGCCATGCCATGCTATGCCATGCCATGCCATGCCGTGCCATGCCATGCCATGCCATGCCATGCCATGCCATGCCACATTCCATGAGATGACAAGGGACGCCTTGAAATGACTGGAAGGCCATGGCTTGCATGCATGTCATATGGAGTGTCCTTGACGCCTGTTTTCATCAATCTCTTGCCGACTTGCATGACTGAGCTCGTTTGGTTGCGTAAGTCCCATCGTTCCTTGGTGAACGGCGTGGCATCTCACTCTAACCCGGGCCAGTCCTTTCCTCTGCCGCTCTCATC